GAAAAATGAGGGCTTAAAGCTGCCACAGGGAAGGGATGGGGTTGTGTAAATTTGTGTTGGAGACAAGGCCTGGGACTTGGTTCAACAGAGAAGTGGGAGGGGAGCCCCTCTTCCAGAGCTATCTGCAGTGTGCCCTGGGCTTGGAAAAGGACCCCTCTCCACACCCACTTCTGCCCTAGGTGCACTGCATGGATGATGTCTGTGGGCTCCTTCCTTTCCTAAATCCAGAAGTCCCTGACCAGTTCTACCGCCTCTGGCTCTCACTTTTCCTCCATGCTGGGTAAGCAGAGGTGTAAAACTTCCACTATGGGGGTGGGGGCACCCTCAGCCCGGGGTTTGCTGTGAGGTTTGTGGCTGTCCCTCGTGGGGACACAAGGATCTGAGCTGTGCTCTCTGCCAAGGTTTGCCATCCTGTGTTTGTTGGGAGGGATCAGCACCATGGGAAGGCCAGAGCAGGAACTCTGAGCAAGGCTGGGGACAGAACATGAGCACAGGGGTGATTTCAGTGGCTGCTGCTTCAGCTCCTGTACTGTGCACTTGGCAGGATCCTGCACTGTCTGGTTTCAGTCTGTTTCCAAATGACGATCCTGCGGGACCTAGAGAAGCTGGCAGGATGGCACCGCATCTCTATCATCTACCTGCTCAGTGGCATCACTGGGAACCTTGCCAGTGCAATATTTCTACCCTACAGAGCAGAGGTGGGTCTCCTGCAGCCCAGGGTCCTGGTGACTTGCCCTGAGCACAACCCTTCTCTACATGCCTGTGCCTCTGTGGCTGAGGCAGAGCCACCAGAGCTGGGCTCACCACTGCAGCCTTGGCACTTGTAGCTAGAAGGTGGCACCACACCATCATTTAACTGCTGAGCAGCACCAACCCCTGGGGCACCCTGGGCTTTCCAAGTGACTGGCCTGGGCTGGCTGCAGGAAAAGGGCTGCCTCTCATAACAGATGGGGGATTGTCCAACCACGGGCTGAGAGAGGCCCCAGGCAGGCTCGGAATCAAGTGTGGTGTCAGACACCCTCCACCTGAGAGTGGCAACTCACTGTGCCCACAGGACACTGCATGGCTGGACCTGCAGGAGCCTTCCAGCTCCTTTCATAAGGAAAACTACATGGTGGGTGGGGGAAGCCAGGAGATTCCCTTCAAGGGCTTCTCCCCTCTGGCAACTTGAACCAGATCTGCCCTCCTTAGTCTGTTCTGGCCTCACACCTTGATCCTAAATCCAACCAGGCCCCTTTACTCCTGGCACTCCATTACATGGATGAAGTTGCAGAGTCCCTTTGCTAAGAATCACTGAACAGGAGTTGAGTAAGAAGTAACTAATTCCTGGAGCTGGCTGCAGAGGCCAGGCAGGTGGCATGAGCCTGACATTATCTGTAATGCTCTTCTTCTACAGGTTGGCCCTGCAGGATCCCAGTTTGGAATTCTGGCCTGTCTCTTTGTGGAGCTCTTCCAGAGTTGGCAAATCCTGGCACGCCCATGGAGGGCTTTCTTCAAGCTGCTGGCTGTGGTGCTCTTTCTTTTTGCCTTTGGCCTCCTGCCTTGGATCGATAATTTCGCTCACATTTCAGGATTTATCAGTGGTTTCTTCCTCTCCTTTGCCTTCCTGCCCTACATTAGCTTTGGGAAGTTTGATTTATATAGGAAACGATGCCAAATTATAGTTTTCCAGCTCATCTTCATCGCACTCTTCTCAGGACTGGTGATTTTGTTTTATTTCTACCCCATCAAGTGCGAGTGGTGCGAGTTCCTCACTTGTATACCCTTCACAGACAAATTCTGCGAGAAATACGACCTGGATGCACAGCTCCACTGACAGCAAAGACTGGCTTCTCGAGCAGGCCCTGGAGATGGACTGTCTTTGCATTTGCTGTGCCAGTTCCGTGGGGACAAAGCCTCTAATCCAATGACACTTCTAACCCTACCCGTGGTTAATTTAAACTGTCTCCTTAGCACTTGGCAGGCATGGTTTGCCTTATCTCAGAAGACTCTGAAAAACAGAACATTTGTGCCTTGTTCAATTGTATTGAACCTTTTCTGCTGCCATTATTTTTATTACACTAGTTTCAATACTACATTTTTAACCAGAGTTGTTTACTACTGCTAAGGTGGTGATTAAACGGTGAGGTAGCGTTTTAGCTACTGTGAATTGTTCTGAGTAGTCTGTGCCTACCTTTGTTACTTAATCTCACTCCTGCTGTTTCATGTACCCTGTGGAGCACCCAAACCAGCCAGATACACATCTGCAGCTGGAAATAAGGGCCTGAAAAGCCTCAGAAAACTAGAGGGTCTCTTTAATCCCTGGAATCCACATACAGCTCAAGGGCAAACAGCAACTGTAAAAAATATGAGGATGTCCAGTCAATGGAGTTTGTTCTTCTTCCAAGTGTGACAGTCTTTTCCTCCAGAAAGATGCTGAATCCACAGTCTGGTCTTGGTAGGGCTGGATTCTCTGCTCTCTCTGTTTAAGAAAGAAAGTATTTGTCAGTGACAATAATTACTGCATGCTGGGCTTTTCTCACCACACTGCCATGATGGTCCAGGAGGGACCAGCCAGTGCCAGAGGTGACTGCTGGTCACAGGCACCCTAGAGCAGGTGGCTGTTGTTAGGGCACACATTTTATTACATGGATCTTGAAAATATGGCAGTGTTGAAAGAAGAATAAAAGGTAACTGTAGTCAAAAAGGAACAGTTTTTAACCTGGAGCAGCAAAACAACACAAGGCTTTGGACAAGCTGCTCTTAGCCCTATTCTTCAGCCACTGTGACTGTTTCTAAAAGCATAATTTAAAACTTACTAAGCCTGAGAATCTTGGCTACATCTTGTGTTTGTGTGCACAGCTTTCTCAAAACAGCAGTATTAATGCAGAATTATGTCTGCATGAGTTAGAAACCCAGCCATGCTCCTGACAATGATTTCCAGACATGTAAAAAGCCTAAAAGAAAGCAAGGTCTTAGAAGCAATCACAGCAGCAAAGGAACACTGTGCTTAATGAGTCTCAAGACAATGTAGAAGCAGATTGAGAGTCTAAGCATAGAGTCAGCTAGTGCTGCTGCTGCTGCTCCCAGTGTGTGTCACCTGAAGTAGCTGAATTATCATTCCCTGCCCCAAGAGGAGCACAAACAACACTACCAGGATCTGGAAACAGGCACCAGCCTCGTGCAGGCATTCAGAAATAACTCTGCCAGCCAGCAGAGAGCATCAGCTCAGAGCCTCAACACCATGGCCTGGGGAAGATGAGGAAGGAACTGGGAGCTCTTAGTGGACGTTCAGGACTTACCCCACCAGTTACTTCCGAAGCTTCTTTATGAAGCTGACCTCGTCCCGGTTCCTGATGCCATACCTGAACACAGAGTTAGGCTGTTAAATATCAGCTTCCCAGTAACAACAACCTGTGAAAACCCATAGCTTCATCTTTCCCAGGGACACAGGGACTCCTACAGTCCCGTGCTGTGCTGTACCAGAGGACACATTAAAATTCTCACTTGTGTATGTGGGACATGCTGCCAGCACTGAAGGATCTGCTGATCTGCCTTTAACTGCAACAACCCCTTAAATGCAACATCTGTCACCCAGGCTCATTCTTCCAAGGACAGCTTTGATTAGGGCTGTCTTGCTGAATTTTTAGTACTTCAGACCACCTTTTCTCACTGGTGTGCAACAGGCTGGCAGACCCAGCACTGCAGGGAAGTGCCTCATCCCTCCTTGCCTCAAGAATGGGCAGGGAAACATGGGAGTCATCTGTCAGCATTGTTACCAGACTGTCTGAGAGGTGGCTGAGCAGCTCCAAAGATCAACACCTGTCCTTGGACTTCCTCTTTACTTGGCATTCTTCATAGAATCACAGAATGTTATGGGGTTGGAATGAACCTTACAGACCATCCAGTCCCAACACCCCTGCCATGGACAGGACACCTCTCACTAGGCAAGGTTCCTCAAAGCCTTATCTAACCTGGCTTTGGCCACTGCCAGGGTGGGGCATCCACAACCTCCCTGGGCAACCTGTTCAGTTCCTGTTTGCTGCTCTTTCCTATCCTACATCAGTATCTGTGCTGAGCTGAGTAACTGTAACCATTCTGTAGGAGTTCGGGAGGGATGGCCAAGGGTTCTGTGGGGTGCTCTAAACTGGCTGAACCCAGCACAGGATGGTGCTGGCCGAGGATGAGGAACCCCCCAAGGCCAGCCTGTCCTGCAGAGAGCCTCTGAGTGTGCCTGTCCCACTTCTGTGGGCAGTGCTGTCCCACCTCCCAGCCAATGTGCAGCACAGGACCCCCGATCCCGGGCACAACCTCCCAGCTCAGCCCTGCCCTGGGGATGTTGCGAGGGCTCCTCTCAGCCCCCAGCGCTGACTCGGTTACTCACTCTCTCAGCTTCTTCCTGTCATCCGCCAGCTTCTCTCCATTGAACGTGAGGTGGTACGTCCTCCATATGTACTTCCTGCGGGAAAAACACTCAGGGGCAGCCGCGGGAGCGGGACCGGGCTGGGATGCGCTCCCGAGCCGCCCGCCCGGCCCCGCTCACCAGCTGAGGTGCTGGACACCGCCCTGCCGGGCCTGCCTCAGCTGGATGTGCCGCCGCAGCGCCTTCTTCAGCTCCAGCACCGAGGCGTTCTGCACCACCACCACGGCTGCGGGGCGGGGAGAGCCGGGTCAGGCCCGCCGCGCCCCGGCCCCCGCCCGGCCCCGCCCGGCCCCGCACGCACGCACGGTCTCGCCGTCCGCCTTGCACACCCGCACCGTCATGGCCTGCCCGTACTCCAGGGCCACCTGCGAGCCGATCTCCTCCGCCGTCACCTGCGGGCGAGTGACACGGCCGTGAGCCCAGCCCCGCCGGCCCGGCCCGGCCCCCGCGCCCCGGGCCCACCTGCGGGGGGAGGTCGCAGAGCAGCGGGTCCTGCACCAGCCGCGCCAGCGCCGCCTGAAACAGCTCCAGCACCTCGGCGTGCGCCAGCTCCTCCGCCGGCTCCTCCGCCGGCTCCTCGGCCGCCATCGCCGGAAGGGGCGGGCGGCGCGGCGGAACCGGCGATGCTGCTCTTCTGCCCGGCCTGCGGGAACGTGCTGGTGGCCGAGGAGGGGCCGCGCTGCCACCGCTTCGCCTGCACCACCTGTCCCTACGTGCGCAACGTCACGCGGAAGGTACCGGGGCGCGGGGGGCGCGGGGGCGGCCCGGGACGGGGCCCGCCGGGGCCGGGTGCCCGGTGCCCGCTGAGCCGCTCCCGGTACGGCCCCGCAGGTGACGAGCAGGAAGTACCCGCGGCTGAAGGAGGTGGACGATGTGCTGGGCGGCGCCGCGGCCTGGGAGAACGTGGACTCCACGGCAGGTAGGGCCGGGCCGAGGGGCCGCGCGGGGCTCGCTGGGCCCTGCCGGCCCCTCACGGTCCCTCACGGCCTTTCCCCGCCTAAACATGCCCCAAGTGCGAGCACCCCCGCGCCTACTTCATGCAGATCCAGACGCGCTCGGCCGACGAGCCCATGACCACCTTCTACAAGTGCTGCAACCCGCAGTGCGGGCACCGCTGGCGGGACTGAGGGCCGCGGGGATCGGAATTACTGCTGCTCCTGCAATAAACGCGGCACTGCGGGCAAGCAGGCGGCTGCTGCGTGGTTGCTTTGGGCCTGGCAGGGAGGGGAAGCAGGCCGCAGCAGGGTGTGTGCCCGTGCTGCGGCCCCGGGAGGGCAGGGGCCCGTGATGCGCACAGGGTGGGGGTGATAAAGTCGTGCCCTGCACACTGGAACAGCCGTGTTGAAAACGGAGACAGGCCCGAAGGTAACCGAGCTGAAGCACGGTGAGGAAACCCCAGCCCTGAGCACAGCACAGAAGGCAAAGCAGAGGTGAAGTGTTACCACTGTGGCCTTACACAGAACCACAAAATGAAAAAAGGGGCATTTGCTGTGACCTGTGAAAACCCCGTCATTAAAGAGGAACTACAAACTACACGCTGCGACCAGTTACTGTTAAAAGGAGAATGTGCTTCAGGTAGGATCACGTATTACTTGTGTTTTAACATCAAGCTTTATTCTCAGTTTAAATACATTCAGAAGTAAAAACGATAAATAACTTAATAAAAACATGATGGAGCACAAATTGTAACATTTCATCTCCATGAACACTCTCTCCCACAGGCAAGGCCAATTTCCTATCACTGAGCTTTACCCCTTCTATCCAGGGATAATCTGCACCCATTTATTCCAGTTCATGTCGCAGGGGAACACTCTCCCCAGCCTGAGAGTACAGTCTATTGTGGGCTCATAGTAGATGGTTGGGCTTTCACTTAGTTTGGGATTCTGTAGTTGTTCTTCCACAACTGGCTGAGAAAAGAGTGACACTGGGGATGGCTTTTTCATGTAGAATCGTCGGATGCAACCAAGAGTTTCCAGACCCTGCAAAAAAATTCACATATTTTAATATGCTGTGAATGCTGCTCTAGCTACAGTGTTCTCAGAAATGTTGGACAATTTATACCAAAAGTGGCTTCACTTGAGCTCCTGAAGAGCCTATGGTTACAACACAAAGCTAAAAAGAATAAACAGCTTAATAAAACCATGCAAGCTCTGGCTATAGCTGGATATTTCTAGTTACTTTCAAGCACAGTGATTGATACATGGTTACTGACACAGAATATGCTCAGCAAGAGATGTCAACATTTAGGACCAGTTACAAAAAAATCTAAGGCTGCTCTAGATGTCAATCCCAGACTTCTGTGCCAGTCCTTGTTAATGGTTAACAGGTGTATGACAAGCTCTGCCTGTGGTTTCTAAACCATTTCTTAGTGAATTTATTGGTGCAGAACTTAGATCGGAGTTCTCCACTCTGTAAAATGTAGAGGTAATTAATTGCTTGATTTTGTGAGTTTGAATTCACATTGCCCAGGAATCCATAGTGGAACACCCAGAACAGGATATGTGTGACTGGTAACACTCCCAGCTGGCACTGTCACCACAGGGTACAAGCCCTGGGGAAGAAGTGGCACATGGACACTGGAAAATGGATTTCTAACTAGCAGGGAAGTCATGCTTTTGGGAAAGCCTGCAGGATTATTGCTCTGCTTCACATTCTGAATATTTATAGGAAAAAAACAGAAATCAAAATTCCATTTCCAAAGTGGTGGCAACTGAATGTCAAGATGTGGGAATAAAATTATGAGAAACTCAAAATTTTCTTGCCATCTTTTGCGTGACAATTAGGGACTTGCAGGCAGGTCAGAAGGTCTGATTTAAACATTGTCTAGCACAGACACATGTCAGTTTGATTCTCGTGGCAGACTACCCATCTAGAAGGCATATAAGAAAAAAAATCAGGAATATTTGGATTATCTGTGGTGACTGGGGACTGGAACCAGAGGATGTTTAAGGTGGCTGAGCAGCTCCAAAGATCAACACCCCTCCTTGGGTTTCCTCTTTGCTTGGCATTCTTTACAGAATGTTACAGCGTTGGAATGGACCTTATAGACCTTCCAGTCCCAACACCCCTTCCAACCCAAACTGTTCTGTGATTGCCACTGCATCAAACAGTCAATTTCATGGTGACAAGCCCCACTCTTCAGCAACCTCCCTGTCCATCCCTTTCAGAAGCAAGCTCAGCCTGTGAAGGGTACACCAGGCCTCCCTCCTCCCTCCCTGCGGGCAGTGGCTCCCGGACCCAAAGGCAGCAGGGTGTTTTCCCCACTGCCCCGGCTGCAGGGCTGCTGTACCTGCAGGATCTCCAGCACGGCCACGGGCTGCAGCACGCCGCTGTAGTGCTGCAGCAGCCCGGCCTGCGGCACGCCCGGCTTGCTCATCACGTGGTAGAGCACGGCCTCCATCATCCCCTTGCACACCGGCTTGTTCAGCTTCCCATCCACGATCCTCCACGGCCTCCCGATGAAGGAAACGCTCTCACAGGCCCTGCCAAAGACAGGGAAAACTCTGCTCTCAGGAATTCTTTGGGATGGGTTTCTCATCGTTGTAATTTCTGCCTCTGAGAGGCTCTCACTGCATCTGTTTTAACTCAAGTGTAAATCCTGTGGCTGCTCTGAGCAAGGGCTAGTGCTGCTCTACCAAACCTGCAATTTACACCAGGGGTTCATCCCTTTTAGCACCATTACAAAACTGCAGCTGCCCTGGGTCTCAATGAGCAGGGAAGCTTTGTTTGTTATTAGCTCCAATATCCTCCAAAAGTTATCCAAGACCTGCACCACGCAGCACCAGTGCTCTGATGGGAGGCAAATCCCTCATTTTTAGTATTTTAGCATCCAAAAGACAGTCCCTGCATGGAAATTCACATTTCTCATACTGCAGTTTCTCCAGGCCTTTCCTGGGCACCTGGAAGCTGGCACTGGGCTTATTTGTGCAGTAAAATCAGTTTTGGTCCTCTGATATTTGGAGCTCATTGGTTTTTGGGTAAAAATATCTATTGTTCAGCAGGCACAGGAGCACAAGGAACATTAACAGGAACAGTGGAGTGGGGTTTCTCCATCACTGCTCATCAGAGCATAAAACTGAGGTTTCCAAACCACTCTTTTGGCAGTGCCAGGTGTTTGGTATTCTGCAGACAGCTCTGTTACTCACCCGTCCCTGGCTGCCTGGGAGACATCTGTCATGGAGCTTCCTGGAAAGAAAAGGACACATATTTTCTAATTAACTCAAATTCCTTATCTAATGAAAGGAGAGTTAAAGGTGGCCAAGCTGTGAAGTGCAAGAGCTAGGAAAGCACAGCAGCAAACTACTCCATGTGTGGAGCTCTGAGCTGCCCCTCAGCCCTGCCTGCAGCAAACTCTTCCCACACGTCCTCCCACAGCCACATCTCCTTACTCAACCCCACCTTCTGTGGTTCTTTTCCCCAGTCCCAGCAGGTTTTATTCCTGGAAGTCTGATGCTATGGCTGAACCATGGTGATTGTAGGGGCTGAAAGAACTGAGGTGCACAGAGAGCTGTGCGGGGTCTCAGCCTGGAGCTCTCCAGGGCTCTGGGTAACCTAAAGCTCCTGGAAATCAGAGGGATGTAGGGCAGAACTCCAAGGAGCTGGAGATGTGAATGCAAACTCAGGATTCCAGCAAGACTCAGTTTCAAAGCAAAGGCTGTCTCTGCAACTCCCATTACATTATGTCATGGGTTTTAATTAGACAATTACTTAACGAGGTATTCCTACCACACCCAGAGGGTAACAGCTTTGGCTTAAGCACATGTAAACACTCACTGGCCAGTGAGGACTATATGTGTTTGATAACAGAACTCCTGTTTTTCCCTCCTATGCTACAAACAAGTCAAGGACTCTCAGTTTTGTGGAGCTGCCCCTCAGCCCTGCCTGCAGCAAACTCTTCCCACACGTCCTCCCACAGCCACATCTCCTTACTCAACCCCACCTTCTGTGGTTCTTTTCCCCAGTCCCAGCAGGTTTTATTCCTGGAAGTCTGATGCTATGGCTGAACCATGGTGATTGTAGGGGCTGAAAGAACTGAGGTGCACAGAGAGCTGTGCGGGGTCTCAGCCTGGAGCTCTCCAGGGCTCTGGGTAACCTAAAGCTCCTGGAAATCAGAGGGATGTAGGGCAGAACTCCAAGGAGCTGGAGATGTGAATGCAAACTCAGGATTCCAGCAAGACTCACTTTCAAAGCAAAGGCTGTCTCTGCAACTCCCATTACATTATGTCATGGGTTTTAATTAGACAATTACTTAACGAGGTATTCCTACCACACCCAGAGGGTAACAGCTTTGGCTTAAGCACATGTAAACACTCACTGGCCAGTGAGGACTATATGTGTTTGATAACAGAACTCCTGTTTTTCCCTCCTATGCTACAAACAAGTCAAGGATGTTAAATCCAGTGAAGTACTTCAGCAGTTTAATTTAAGAACTGCTGAAGTCTCTGTTGTTTAGACAGCCCTGAGAGCATTTCCTGCAGGAAGGCTCCAGTTAAACAATCCCAAGCTGTGGGATGTTAGGGATCACCCTCTGGACCTGGGTACTGGCAGGGCTTGGCAAGGTACCACAGGAACAGTGAGCTTGTGGTTCAGTCTGAGATTAGAGCTCATAAAAACCAAACCAAAATGAAATCCCCACAAACTACTAAATGTAAAGCTTGGCAAGAACTACTAGGTATTAGAAAACTGGCAGTAAAAAGGAAAGGAAAATGAAGTCCAATTGGGTTACAAATGAGGCTGTTAAATCTCACTGGCATGTGCTGCTTCTGGTGAATGGTTTAATGAGTTTAGGACTTTCAGCCATGGACATTCCAGCTAAATGCACACCAGCAGTGCTGTGTTTTCTAGGCTTAGAGATGCCTGACCTTTGGACTGAAGCCAGAGATGAGAAACTTCAGATCCAAATTATTCTGGAAAAAAGACATGGAAACAAGTTTCTAAGGAAAACATACTTCTGGACTAGTCATTCCAGCAAAAGGCACAGGAAGGATTATGGGATGTATTTGAAAACTCTGAGACCTTCCAGATGAATTAGTGTTATGCCAATTTATCTGTGAGAGAAGACAATCTCTCTGGTACAGCTGCATAAAGAATCCAGGATTTGCTTATGAAGTGGAGCTACCGGTTTGGGATCAACTGCTGATGAGCTGGTTTGTATTTCAGGGATGCAGAGGGCTCTCCATACCTTTAGAGACTCCTGGGTTCTCCTGGAAGCAGGAAAGATCATCATCCTGCTCACTGGCTGATTGTTCAGGGATAGGGATCTGCTTGCTGTGCTCAGTGCTGAGCTCATCGTTCTCTACTTCAGGTTCTTTGTCCTCAGAATGAGATTTATCTTGTTCCTTGTAAGTGTCCACATCCACAGCCTCTGGAGCAGGCTCTGGGAGTTCAGCTGGAGGCTCCAGGGAGCCTCCTCCTGGAGCTTCTTCACTCCCAGTAACAGCTTCCTTCCTTGGGACAGGCTCAGAAACAGCTGCATCCAAGTTCCTGCCATCTGCACTTGCCAGAGCAGGCTGTGCACCCTGGCAGAGGTGACTGTCACTCTGAAGGATGTCAGTCTTACATCTCTTCCTCGGGGGCTCGTCATCATTGGCACACTGTGTGTCTTTTCCCAGCTGCTCCTCCTCTCCCAGACATTCCAGTCCCTTCCCTGGCTCCGAGGGCAGGTGTTCATCTGGGAGAGCAGGGTCTGCCCCTGGCTGCTCAGCATCCTCTGCTTTGTTCTTCAGGCACACTGAGCGTAGCAGCCAGGGCTTGGCAAACACTATGGCCACCAGTCTGACAGTGTGGCCTCCTACTTCTAAAACCTGCTGCATTTCAATGAGGTCCTGTAAAAACCAAACAAAAAACCCCACAACAAATTATCTCAGGGGCTTTCACTGAAAAATGTCACTTTAACCCAGTGTCATGGAATTGCCACGATTTAACTGGCAGCAAGGGAGGAGCAAAGTTTAGTAGAATATTCAATTTTGCCTCCAGCTGCACTGAAGGCAAATGAAAAGATGTTTTACCCCTAAACCTTCCTGAAATTACAGCATGAGATGTTTTTCTTCAGCTTAAAGTAAGTTAAAAATATAACTGGGAACAAGTACTTTGCTTCCAAAGGTTGATGTTAGCACCTCTAGGTTTCTGAAACAGTTCATTCCTGTATTTGATTAAAAGCTGCTTTAATTGTTGGCCTTCCTAACTTTGAGGCAAGATTGCTCTCAGGTGTGGTGTGTTTCTCCTGCCTAGCATAAATAACTCTGTTCAATTTATAGCTGCTTCCAAGAGCCTGGAAGCTCATCCTGTTCAAGGGCAATACTAAGCATGCAAACATTAATGTATGGAAAGCAGCTGGCTGTAAACCCACCTGGATGTACTGCTCCAAGCTCCTGCTGCGTTCAGCTTCCACCTGCTCATAGCTGCAGAAACGTTTGCTCAGCTCAGCTTTGCAAATCCCAAAGTGGGAAGTGGCCTCTATGGCCTTCCTGATCTCCAGAGCAGCTGCCACATCCCCGGGGCTGTACCCATAACGCTCCCTACACTCGTGGAGAAACTTATCCACATCATAGTTTTCTTCCTGGATTTTTATCAGCCTGGTGAAAGTTTCAGGGAGGCAGGAGATGCCAACAGCCATGTGATCCAGCAGGGAAGGAACTGCAAAGCAAATAAACCATGGGAGTTTAAGCTGTGAAGCAGCAGTTACTGTGCAACATATTGCAGGAAGACAAACAGATTAGAGGTGTTCTAGACCCATTAAAAACAGAGCTCAGTTTTCCCTCTTCATTGCTGCAGTTCCTTTTTTCCTTCTGCCTTGCATACCTGTCTGAAAAGACCTGTAAAGGGGAGCAAACTGGTTTACAAGGGCTCAACCTCCCAGCACAAAGAATTACGGCTGGAAGGCAGTGTTCTCTCTAACACTGGGTCAGCTCAGCTCTGAGTTAATGAGGGAATCCTCTCCTTTTTTCTTGAAGAAGGTCAAGTAAAAATTCTAGGGCAAGGAGATGCTGTAGAGAACACTTCTAATCAAAAAACCTACAGCAGAAAGCTGTTGGCCAGATCTGGTTTGAACCACCACTTGACAATGCTTCAGACAATTAGTTCAACAAAGCATCTCTGTGTTCAGTGACAGGTCCAGCACTGCCCCAAAGTGACCCCCATGTACAGAGAGTATCCACAGCTGAAGCCATGGAAGCCCTATCCCAGTCCTGGCTGATGAGGGGGCAGCTCTGGCACTGCTCTTCCTGCTCCCTTCCCTTTTACCTGCAGGCTGCTCCACATTTGCCTCTGGAACTTTTGGAGCCAAGAAAAATGGGCTCAGCTGTAATGAGCAGTCAGCACAGCACAGCGGGAGGGCATGAGAGGCAGCAGAGACAGGAGAAAGAATTTCTGTGTTACCTCTGTCACAACAGCAATGGAAATGGGCAGGGGCAGCACTAGAGGATTTCAGCTGCAGAGCTCAAGGCTCTGCATACATTTGCATTACAGCTGAAAACAACACGCTCTTTTAAGAAGGGGCAGTGCTGATGAACTGCATTCAAGCTCTAAATATTATAAAATGTTTAAATTACTGATGTAAGAGGGCAGACATTGGACACCACTACTTGGGGCACTTGCATGAGACAAGTTAAATGAGAATTTCCATTCAAGGAGCTCTGAAAGATTTTATTTTCTCTTTACAGAAGAGAAAGCCTGGCTGTTACATCATATGGTATTTTAAGTTGTTGAATGGACTGAAAAACCTCCTGGAGAGGGTTATTATTATTACTGCAGAGGACAGACTGCAGTAATAGTTTAACACAACATGAAATAGAGGCAAGGCCTTGTTACCAACAAAAGCCTGGCCATCTGTTTTAAGTCAGGAGAGAAAGCTTTACAGATTTGATGTGTAATGAAAACAGAATGTTCCTGTCAGGGGGCTTTGTTTAAATCAATTCCTCAGCAGGTGAGCTCACCCTCTCCTGCTCCAAGCCACTTCTGTGCACTTCAGGCCAAACAGAACTAACCTGGAGAGCTGAGCCTTCCTGGGATGGGGGTGCACCTGAGCCTGACCTTCACCTGGCAGGAGTTGACCACGATGTTGTCGCTGGGGCTCAGGTTGCGCGTGCTGACGATGCCAGGGCAGTAGTAGCCTCTCATCAGTAAATAATTGGTGTGAGAGGCCTGGCGAGGCTTCACTTCGATCCTGCGTTTGCCTCCCGAGCTCTCGTCCAAGTCGTCATCCTCATCATCCTCGTCCTCCAGTCCTTCTTTTCCCAAGCTACAGCAAACACAGGAGGTTGGATTTGTTTGTTGGGTTTTTCCCAAAAGAAGGAAGTGATTGATGACACTGAGCAGAGCAAGGACAGGGCGCTCCTGCGCTCTGGGCAGCTGGGACAGTGCCCACACCAGGCTCATGAGAGCGCTGAGAACAAGAACCCCAGAAAAGGAAATACACTAAAGGTCCCTGGGAAAGGAAACTCTCTCCTTTTTTTTGCAAAATGTGTTGAAATGAACCAAAAATATCTCATCTTCCAGTACTGAAGCTCTTTGGTTCAGCAGATGCTTCATCCTAAGGGAACATCTGTTAGACACTGTGAGAGCAAGAGGGATGCTGCAGGATGGGGCAGACTGTTTATTTTTCAGGGTGAAAAGGAGGAGAGAGAGTTACAGATTTCAGTTACTTTAAAAAATAATAATTAAAAAACCACCAAAACCCGAACTGCAGACATTCTCCAAGTAAAGAAAAGACTAGCAGTAGCAGTCAGGATGGATTTCCCAGAAACAAACTCAGTCAAACCAACACTATTTATTCTAGGACATGACAAGAGCCACTATGGATAAAGGTGAAGGCTCTGCAAAACCTGATCTAACTCTGAAGTTGCCTCTGTTTCAAGCAGATTATGCCAGGGACTATGAAAGGTTCCTTCCAACCTTTTCTAACATGAATTAGAACTTAAGTACCTTCTTTTAAAACAGATTTAAAATCAAAAGGGAGCACATCACTTAGAAAAAAAACAGTGAGTGCACTATTCAAGATGCCCCTAACTCAGCAATGGGACCAGGCCAGGGCTCAGTGTATTTTTTGCTAATGTCCTGACTGGTAAAACAGCTCATTCAGCTTGCACAGGGTCACTCAACTGAGGACACAGCAAGCAGATGAGAAGCTGGGATTTGCATTCAGAACATCTCCAGCACACTGGAGAGGCAGCCTGGAAAAGAGCAGGGAGCAATTCCCTATGACAAATGCATGTTATTTGTATTACAGTACTCTGCATCTGTCCCTCCACACTGAGAGGGAACAATTAAACAGATAAAGGAAAAGAAGCTTGTTAGGTGAGTCACAACAATCACAAGCTGTGCATGGATCACTGCACTGGGGGGGTTCGGCTGCTTTTTTTTGGCAAGGCCACGGCCCTTCAGAATCTTGGGATGCATTAGCAGGTGTTTCACCTGTATAACAGGAGGGAATTGGCACAGAGCTGCCAGCAAGAGCATGGCTTTTGTTTTTTGACATCACAATTCAGTGCTGAAGAAAATAATGAGAAAGACAGAGAACTGGTTAACATGAATCGAGTGAAGGAACTGAAGCTGCTCATTTTAAAGAGCAGCATGTTATGGGAGAGGGACCACAATAACAATCCTCAAGTAGGTATTAAGCTGCTCTAAAGAGAAAGAGAACAAAATATTTTCCATGTGTACTCACAATAGGAAGCAGAAGGTCAAATTACTACGAGATCTGAGTCGCACTTTTAAGAAAGCACATAATGACTGTAAGGAAAAGGGCTCACAGGCTCCCACTGCCTGGGGACAGTTTCAGTTCATGCCATTACTGCAGGCTTACAGGAAAATTAAATCCAAGAGGAGACAGTATACAGAAGCACTGCTGCGGTGGAAAGTTCCACTGATAAAGCTGAAACCTTGTTACCAACCCTCTCAGTCTGTGACATGCCAAGGGATAATGCTGATGAAATGCTCCTGTAGCACTCAGTGCTCTCCTTTCCATGTCAGCTCTGATGGCACTGAAGTGTCAAGCAATTGAAATGTCACATGTGAAGGCAAATGCAGCCCAGGGCTATAATGACAGGTACTGAATTAAGTGCCATTAAGTGTTCAGAGCACCTCCTCAGAAATAATAATCTAAACAATAGCACAGTAAAAATGCCACAGTGCAGAGCAGGAAATGCCAATTCATATCCAGTTTCATCCAAGTTATCCCCAAACTGTATTCTCTAATAGAAATAACAGCATTTACCTTTTTATCACTTCATTTTCCACCATGGAGCTGTCCACCACAATGATCTGCTCTGGGATTCTCACATTCACAGCCACCAGTCCCAGGGAGAACAGGGAGAGCATGGCCACACACTGGCCACCAGGGCCATCCATGGGAAATGCCACCATGCCTTCTGATGATGCATTTTCTTCATCTTTAAATGAGAAATTGTGTGGCTGGTCTGATTTTTCAGCATCCTTGAGCTTCTCCAGGAACTGGAAGGACTCTGTACAAATGGTACTGGGGAAGCGCCACGTAAAAACTCTGCACAAGAACACAAACAAGCACAAATCCTTCAAAATCTGCTCTGACTTTTACAATTATGGTGGCACAAAGGAGCCAAACAGTTGAAGTCTCATTCTAGAGCTGGTGACCAAGCACACTCCACACCTGCTCTCACAGTCCTTTTACTATTTCCAGAACATTAGGTGTTTATACCCTGTGTAAAGGTCAGGTAGCATACAGCAAATAAAAAGCAAAGCTATCATCTTCTGCTTCACAGGAGTGCTAAAAAAAATCTTCCCACCACATCTACAGCTGTGCTGCTGCATCTCCTCCCCTCTCCATGTGTCTGTAAGTCCTGCCCAGCACCTTTGGCTCTATTCCCTCACTGCCCTCCCCACGTAAGGACTGACTGACATGACATCACCTTCACCTTCCTCTGCACCCTCAGCTGACGGTTCCTTGCTCTGGACACTTCTCCTGTGCTGTCACCTCCATGCCATGCTTAGATCGATCCTTTCCTTTGCTCCAAGCCTGGCAGTGTCCCCCAGCCACCCACCTGTAGTAGCTCTGGGACAGCTGGTAGGACATGGGCACGAAGGGCAGCGCGCGGCTCTTCTTGGGCCCCAGCGTGTGGTTGACCCTGCGGCGGTTGACCAGGCTCCTCCTCTGGCACTCCAGGAAAGCCTTCACCAGGATGTCATCCCTGTACTCCTGGTACAGCCTGAACGTCTGCAACACACCCAGGCACAGCTCTGCACCACCTGCTGCAGCCACGCGCCCTCAGGGGGTGAGAGGACACAAGCCAGGATGAAAATCATCCATAAAAATTCACTTTACTCCTCTGTTCCTTCTATGGCCTTCCAGACTTGCCATGGTACATGACAATTAAATTAACTACATACTACACAACACTTGATATTCAACATGGGATCGGGCTCCCACTGGAATTATAGATGTGAAAAATGCTCCTCTGCCACACATTTTGGTAATTCTTCCCCTCATTTCAGCAGGAACACTTGGCTCTGAGAGCTTGGCTATCCAGGTTACACTCTTGCTTACAAGCTCTTAAACTCCCTTTGAACCTTGACCTTACTTAAGCACTTGACTGATTGATAATCTCTTTTTGTAGTCCCCAACACTGAAGGAGAGACCCCCAACAGCAGTGCCAGCTGGGTATTAGGATTGTTTTTGTGATATCTCCTCCAGAACATTCCAGATGCTCATGGGGGCACTAAAGCACGGTACAGATTGACCCACTGGAAGTGATGTGGAGCTTATTTCATGTGATTTTAGGGGATTGCTTCAACCTCACATCTTACAATCTCATCCTCAGAGAGAAAACAATAAACTGAAAATCTTCCTACAATAAATAATTTCCTAAAAGCAGAATACTCCCCACAGAATGGATACAAATCCAAGTTTCTGGGTTTCTTTTCTCCCACTTGCAAAAGGCACATGTAAAGGGAAGGAGGAGAAACTTTAGGGTTGTATGCCACACGTGGATGTGGCCTTGTCAGTGCTGGGCTGATGGCTGGGCTTGATGATCTTACAGGTCTTTTCCAACCTAAACAATTCCAGGATTCTACGAGCAGTTAATTTTGGTCCAGACACTGTACCTGAAATGACTGGCAAGATTCCATCTGGTGATCTGAGAGTGCCAGTGTGCTCTGAATCAGATTCTGCAGCACCAGAAAATGAATATCATAAATACTGAAAGAAAAAAAAGAGAAAAATATTTATTCCTGGTAATTTTTGAACATGAGGTACCCATTAAACCAGAGCAAAAATTTACAAACTCCATCACCTGCTGCTGAGACAGAAGAATAGAGGCACAAGATCTATAGCTGAGGATCATTCACGTAAAGGAATCAGTCACATTTTCCCTCACCTTCCACCCCCAATTTTCGGATTAGTCCAGACAATCTGACACAAAGTTCTCCCTGATAACGTCTTCTCCTCTTAAGATACAGCACCCACATAGAAAATGTACAGTTGTCCCAGTGATAAAATAATTTTGAGGTCATCTCCGCTATCATTTTTTCTGCCAAATCTATGTCAGAGGTCCCTACAGTCTTGTCAAAGTATTTTTCTGTTAATAAATTTATACACTGCAGATGGAAACGCTGAATTAGGACACTCTTTATATGACTTCCACAGACGGGAGGGGCTGATGTGGCCTGATCCTAACGAGGAAAATAGTGCTACTGCTACTCACCTGCTCAGGTTATCCTCTTTTGTGCCTTGATTTGTGTCTTCTCCGATTGCCAGCACTCGAAATCTAGTTAAGGGAAGGGAAAGGAGAAGACTGGAACCAGATTTTCTGTGATTTTCTCTGATTTTGCATCAGCCATGAAGCCCAGAGGCTGATGAGCACAACTGCTAAGGAGGCAAGTGCTGGGCCAGCCCAGGGGACTGTGTGCTCCAGCAGCCCTGAGCACAAGGGTCAGACAGGAAAAGAACTGTCCAGGTCCATCTCCACTCAAATATCTGTTGACAAGGAGATAAAACAATGGACAGGACACAGTTCTAGCACTGAAAGGATTTGTCATTCTATTGAGGTTTTGGACTTCCAGTTACAGCCAGCAGCACTTTTGCTGTAATGCACAGCTCTTCCCAAAATAAGAAAAATTACATAGGTGCTAAATTTGTTATCATAAAATGGTCTGAGACAAAATTTTTCCATGCTGCTTTTCAAGTGTTAATCATCATGAAAAAGCTTAATGACCTGGAGCTGGAGAATGCTGCACAAGGCTGAGTGCTCTTCCTTATCAACACTTTTGGCAGCACCGAAATGATTCAGCTGAGCAACCAGCTACAAATTGTGACAGAAAATGGGGCCAGTTAATCTGAAAAATGCTAGATTTCTACTGCAATGAAAGTTACACCTGAGTAGCAACATCTCCAACACTATGACTGAGGACTGGACAATTTAGGAAAATCTGCTGTAGTGAATTTCTGGTTTGAAAGTCTTATTTAGCAATAAGAATGGTTTGAAATCAGAAAAATTATGCAAATAACTGAAAATCACTTATATGTATTTAGAAAGCATGCATATGAAAGAAACACTGCTGATTGTATTCAGTAAAACTTGTTTTCTTACTAAGGGTACAGAGGGTGTAAATGATGCCCAGAGAAGAGACCTGCTCTGAATTGCTGTCCCCTCTCACTGCCCCACCCCATGTGCAGAGACAAAAGCACCAGGATTACAATACCTGGCAAAGAGTTCCTCCAGAGTGTCAGGAATCTCCAGTTTGGGGTTCCCCAGGGTCGAACTGAATTTCTCTTTCAGTCTTTCTACAAACTCTTTAAACTCATTTGCACAAACCTTCAAAAAGAGGAGACAGAAATGTCATCAACCTCAACCTCTTAGAGTGGGAAAAACCCACTTTTAAAGTGTGCATGAAAATTCTTGTAGCAATAGCTGAATTCTGAAGTCAGAAGCAGTCCAACAGCCAAGGCAAGGCAGGGAAAAGCTGGTGCAGTTTGTGTTTGCTGATTCAGTGAACAGTTGCAGGTTCCATCTGTAATCAGCTCACAGCTACAAGCCAAGCACCATGAACATATGTTCTAAGACAATTTCATGAATTAACAGCAAGATCTCTTGCTAGAGCTATGTTTAAGCTTCTGCTCAAGCCCTGCAGGCTTTTCCATGTTCTCCATGAAGTGTTTGCACAATCATGGCTGGAAGAACACCTGTTACATGAGAGGAATCATCTCTGGAAACAAGTTTCTATTTGCTTTCAAAGACAGATTTTGGGGATGGGGACGCATTTATTTTAGTGATGTCTCATCAATGAACAACTGCTCTTCCTTTAAGCAACATGAATCTAACAACAGAACTGATGGGCTTTTCTGACAAGGGTATGAATTGTCATTCCTAGATAAAAATCTTGCTATGACACTGTCCCCATTCTGAAAGAAATTCTGAAAATCAAAATGGAATTGCTTGCACTGAAAGTGTAAACAACTTTTCAATGTGAAATTATGGTTAATTTAAATGGAAAAAAAAAAAAGAAATAAAATCTTTTAGCTGCTCAAATCAAGTCTGATAAAAGTTGCTTGTGTTCCTGCACTCATCCGCAGAAGCTAATGTGGCAGTTCAACACACAACTGGAATAAAAATTAGAAATTACAGAGCAAAAATGTTTTCTTGCTCAGGTAACAATGTGGCTGAAAGGATAAAAAAGTAATTGAGAGATAGAGATGTTTAGTCACGGATGTTTATAAACAAATACATGGAAAACAACAGTGGCTGTTGCACAGGGGACTGTTTATGTGCCTTTGGAAAGCTGCCCTGTGTCCACTTTATCCCAAACCAGCAATGATGCTGCATTTTTACAATGATGCTATTTTTAAAATAGCTAAAGGTTCAAGGGAGAGAAAAGACACAAAATCACACTGCAAGTACTCAGTAATCTAAAGAGCATAAAGTACTCTATGAACTTTTGGAACACTTCCCTCCTACCTGTGGATCTTCATAATTATTTTCTCTATTCATAAAATCATCAATGAGGGCTTTATCTTGGTAAACTTCAGCAAGGCAAACTCTGCAAAGATACAATTGAAGGTGTTGCTCAGAACTGAAATTTTCCCAGCTCAAAACAGACCTGACAGCAGCAGGGTGCAAACAAGATGAAATTTTTAAGCGACATGAAACAAAAGAAATATGTGGGAGGACCATGTCCCTCCAGGAGAACTTAGCCTGTATCCAGAACACAGAAAACTTCTTACTTGTAATTGAGGTAGGTCTGTGGGTTTCTGACAATGTAGCGGGCTCTGCGTCCCACGGAATGGGAGGTTTTATCCAGGGACTCCTCGAAGCTGGAGTGCATCAGGTCCCTCACCACCTGCCAGGGCACAAAGGGCCCTTTCACCTGCAGGAGGAACAGTGCCTGCAGTTAAACCTCGCTGTGTGCACTCGTGGTGAGAGCAGGATGAAGCCCTGGCTGGTGAAATGTTGTGCAGCACCCAGCAGCTCCGCGCTTGTCACACAATATCCTCTTCTGACCCAGAGATGGGGCAACTGAAGGTAAAAACCTTCATTCCATTTTCAGTCTCATGAGAAGGGTGAGACAATACAGATGTTCTAATTCACACCATCACAATCAGAAGCCAACTATTTCCTAATTACAATACACTATAAGTGTTTCTTGGCCTATCAGCTTTAGCCACACCATGCTGCAAATGCCTTAAAGCCAATCATCTCAAATGACCCCTTGTGGGTCCTACCACAATGCATCTTTCATAGTTCTATTTCTCCAAAGTATCTAGTCTTATTTGCAAGCCACCCTTTGAAACTTTTTTCTAGCTCCATTTCTCTCCCAACAATGTCTGTCCTATCCCATGGTGTTTCTAAGTCAGCATTTCTTATCTCCAGGTTTGCATATGGATGCATACTGTGCGGGCCTTCTGGCAGGCCACGACAACTCTCTACAAATCCATTTCCTGCATTTCCCCCTCTCTCTTGGATAGAAAAAGCTTCTTTGATGGCTTTGTTCATCATTTATTGTGTACAGTGAAGTACATAAAGTACTATTACTAACCATGTTATGATAATAATCAGTGCATGTAAACCTATTTTGTAAAGCTCCTTTAGCCAAGGTGCAAAACTCCATCCTTCAAACAAGTAATTTAACCATGACCCATCGTTTGCTTTGATTTGATTTGTCAAATCTCTCAGTTTTTGAAGTTGTTTGTGGATGGATACTGAATGGTTAGATAAGTTAATACAACCCAGTCTTTCAAAATCAGCAGTGCTCCCACCTTGGCATTGAGCACGTGGCTGGCAATCCTGCAGAGCATGAGCAGGCTGTCCTCCTGCACCGTCCAGGTCACGCGCAGCCGCGTCATCCTCAGCAGGGCGCTCTGGTCAGCCTTGTCGTGGTAGCGCAGCCGCTTGCTTTTGTCTGCAGAATCCTCTTCTGGCAAACCCAGGGAAACAAAAAAAGACATTTAGCTCAGCACCTTATATTCTAACTCAAACTTCTAGCACAGGCTCAGCACCAGTTCAAGTCTGTAAGAATGAGAGACCAGCAGGGAAGGAAGTTGCAGTCTAGAAGTGAAATGCAGCAATAGCTCTGCCAAGCAAGAGAAAGTGAACACTTTAATTGGCAAATTAACAACCTAGAGCATCATTTCAAGAGGAATCTTTAAGGCAGCTATCAGGAGCTGATAATGGATTGCAGAGAGCTGCTCTGGCACAAACTCCATGAGGATTCCTCCAGCCTGTGCAGCCGTGGCTCACACACAGCTCATGGGCACAAGGTGCTGCTGCTTCTCCCCACTGACAGAGGCAGCCCACAGCCACGGCCACAAAGCTGCCCTGCCCCACACCCTCTTTGCCAAAGCAGCTTCCTGCAGGCCTAGGCATAGTAAAGAATGCTGCTTTTTCCTGTTTCTTACCTTTCTTTTTCTTCTTTGTCTTCTTTCCAACATCTTTCTTAAGCCTCTTCCTCTTTTGGCTTTTTCCACCTCTCACTCGTTTAGTTCGATCCTGGGTTGGTTCTTTAGTTATTTCAATACATTCCTCTTTCTGGATAAGTGACTCTGATCCTACCTTTGCTTCTCCCAAAATATTAATTTTGTTTCCTAAAATGACACATATTTACAGCAGTGAAGCTTTATAGCAACGATATTCTACAATGTTAAGGTATAGAGACCAAATAATAAATTTCAGTACATTAAAAGACAGATGCACTCTCAGAATTGCTCTTTGTTAGTCCCGTCATTTCATGCCCCTTCTCGGCAGCTCACAGAATAAATTCCTGTATTAATGAGGAATCATCAAGTAATTAAGCCTAGTTTACAGTGCACAAACACAAGGGAACAGAGCTGAGGTTTTACATTCAACCTGAAGCATTTTCTCCTCCTTAGCTCAAACATTAGGCTGGATAACAATAATACAAAAACATTGGTCTGGTCCCTCTGGACTATCTGCAAACTGCACATCAGAAATTACAAAAGACAGAAATTGTTGTTTTATAAGAATTTATTTACACATCTATTTTACAGCCCCAGAAGTACTCTAGATCACTGTAAGGAGACAGGACCAGCCCATGTTATCAATACTAGATAAAAAATTATTGTTCCATATAGCCAGTAATAGGGAATGAAATAATTTATCTGTTTTACTGTCCCAGGAGCATCTCAGATTACTGGAAGGAGACAAGAACAACCCACACCCTTCATGCTGGGTTTGACAAAGGCAGGAGGAGCTGTGGCACAGCCTCAGGCCTTACCTCCAGTACTGAGTGGCAGGGCGTGTTTGGTGAGGAACGTTTGGAGTCTCGCTGTCAGCCCATTTTCAGGAACTGTATTTTCCTAAGACAACACAACTTTAAAAAAGGTGACATACAAAAGGGGTGCACTAGTTTTAACAACAACCTGCTTTTATAATCTGAGTAGTGTCAGAAATAAATATTCAGTTTAAAGGAAAAGGTCCTTGGCTCTAACATAGAACTAATTTGTATTATTACTACCACGCATTAAAATGGCTCCAGAGCTTTTCTTAAATCACACTGGAATGACCACTAGACTGTGAAGGTTAGAAATCTCCTCAAGTTTAAAAGCAGTAATTACTGGAAAAGAAATGTTTGATTATTTCATTTCTACAGAGGCTGACCAGGATTTGCTGTAAAACAGTGTTAGCATTTTACATTGCAAAGGAACTTCTGAAAAGCACAAAACCAAAATGCAAACACAAACACTGAGTAAATGCCTCCTACAGCACAATCTGCCCATCCTAAATCTGACCCTGAACCAACTGCAATGTTTGGGAGTTTTGCCATTCTCTGCTAAATCCATTTCTCTTGTGTGGAGTTCACCGGGGGCAGAAATTGGTCACGAGATGTGGAGAGGAAAGCAGAGACCAAAGAGCTGCTGGAGATTGTGTTACTGCTCAACAATGAGGTGACTGAACAACAGACAGAATGAAGAGTGAAATGATCCTGCCTGAGGGAAATAAATTAGCAACTTAATTTTACATCCACTGATAGGCTCTGATTTGCACACTGCTTAGGGGAGAGTAATTACAGGCAGCTCTGTGAAAGTCCCTGCTCAATGCCTGGTAATGGTGAAAAAGCAAAGGAAATGTATGGAATTAGGGAACTAAAGAAACACTAAGCAGCTGCAAAAATTTGTGCTTTGCCACAACCTTAAAGCACTCTCAGATTGTATTTCCACCTTAAAAAGGACAAGTAGAACTAGGGTCAAAATAAAGGCAACAAGAATGACTAAAGACAGGACAGTTCCATGCTGGGAATAGCAGATGTCAGTCTTAAAAAAAGGAGACGAATATGACAGACATGAGAGATGTTTACAAAAATCCAGCAAAACAGTAAGAATAAGGAAGAATGTATTTTTCACAGCTTCCCTCAGTTCTACAATTACTGAGGAGCTTAAGGCATCAAAATGAAGTGGTGGCACATAGCAGGAATTTGAAACACTTTGCCACAGGAGGCTGGGGATAGTAAAGACTTACGTATGCTCAAAACCAGACAAATTAATAAAAAAAAAAAGCTATTACTGCTTTGAAACATCAGCCCCAGATTTAGAATGGCCTTGAGCCAAAATTGCAGACAGCTGGGAGAGCAATCTGAGGAAATATCCCTTGATCTTACAAGCTTCCATCAGAGACAGGACATTAGCCAGAACTCTGATTTGCATGTGTTGGGCTCCCTATTTTTTTTTTTTTTCCTTGTGTATTTCCTTTTTTCGGATGTTTTGCTTTTTGTGTGACAACTTCTACATTCCAGAAAGGCAAGAGGAACCACTGAGTAGTATGAGCTGCTCGCTCACTGAAGTATTTCTTCTTTGCTTGAATGTATTAACAAATACAAAATTCAGTTTTAAAACAGAATTTATATCCAATTCTTTCATACACTTCAGCACCAAGATTTGTGAACATCTGGCACTCATTTAGTTCCAGTGCTGCAAACCCTTACTGAGAGCATGCAAACCGAATTTGGTGTCACTACCTCAACCTTAAGAACATTAAAATTTGGAGAAGTCTCTACAGTGTATAAATTTTAAAACACCCACCTTCCTGGTCTTGTTGATGATGTAGCTTGTCCAGATCCAGTTGCGTTTCAGATGCCCATAAAAGCTGGAATCCAGACCTGCAGCTCCCAGCCCATCTCCAGGGATGGTTCCATCATCAACCACCTCTCTGCTGCCTCTACAGCAAGAGGAACAAAACCCACAGGAATTACTTTGTGCAGATTCCTTCTCAGAGCTCTTAACTGGTGTGTGTGCAACGAGCAGAACTCTCCCCTTGCCCTCCCAGTTTAGGGGATAATATTACACCATTAATTACATCCCAAAACTGTTTCTTCCTTAAAGATGTCACAGTCATCCCCAGCCTAACTGCAAATAAACACCAGAAATCCAGTTTAAAAGATTTACTGCCACACAAAGAGACCATATGCAGAAGTTCAAGCAAGGATCAGTGAAATTGGGTCCCTCAACTCCATTATTTTTTTTAAGATAACTTGATGTATCTCCCTGCAACATGGAACTAACTGAAAATACTTTTAAACAAACTGTTTATTGAAACAGAATAGAATATTGACAGAGCTAAACCACAGTGCACAACACAATAAAAAAAATTAGCTGGGGTTCTGCATGGCTGTCACAGGTTGTGAGCATGCAACCCTCCCAGGTATTCTGGATGTGATTAGGCAGAAGATTAAATGCTCCAGAGATCACCTCCAGATCACAGTGCACATTAGAAATTAATCTGCAACCAATTAAAGCCAAGTGCAGCACAAAGGGACACGATTCAGACTGTGGCACTGGGGAGCTGCTGAAGCTACTTGAGATACCATGATATAAAGCATAGGAACAGAAAACCTTTACATTTGTTACTCCTGGCATTCCCTGTACTTGGGAAGCATTCCCTCCCTCCCATCTCTGCTCTCCTCAGGACTCTTGCAACACACATCTGTACTGCTCCAGAAGAAAATCCCAATCTGCTCATCCCATCCCTCCAGCACAACAACCTGCCTGGCAGCCAAGTTACTGGGAACATGAAACAGAACTGCATCTCCTTGGACTCAGTTCACCTCTGAGCTCCACAGAACACCCAGCTGAGATGCTCCAGTCTCAAGGGCTTTTGCTATTGAGTAACATCCTCAACCCCTGAACAGCTCCTCTGGCCTGCCCTGCTCCAGCACCTACGTGGTGTATTCCAGCATGGCACACTTTCGCTCCAGGTTGTGTTTGTTCACTGCTGACTCCTGCTCCTTTTCCACATCCAGGGAAGTCTCCTCCCCTGCAAGGTTGCTCCTCTTTGTCCGAGGACAGCGGACAACTCCTGGATAGACAAAGGGGTTTCACTCAGCATGAAAGCTCAGAATTCAGCTTATCTTCAATCCACCTTGCTCTGGCAAACTACTGCTCCCACACAGAACTGCCATTTTCACTCCTTCTCAATACAACATGCCTGCTTCTCACAGAGAAAGGCTAACTGTCAACGTTGCTATTTCCAAGAGGGCAGCAATGCTTTGAACACAAGCAGATCACAACTTTATAGAATTATATGGACACAGGTCCCAATTTTTTTTTTTTTATGATACACAGGACAACATTCCAAAACAGTAGAAATGGCAAACTGTGGTATTCACATGTCCTCTGAACAGAGAGAGATTTAGCTTTCAGAGATTTCTCCTGAGAGACATCATGGAGTTCTACGCATCACTCTTCCTGCCTGTCGGGCATCGTAGCATCCGACAGAAAACCAGAGCCTGGCTCCAGTTTTAGGAAGGGAAAAGGAATTGTGATGTGGCCAGAAGGGGCAGAGAGGGTGTTCAGGGGGTCCAACAGTGCCATACCCAGGGGTGTGTTCAGGCAGACACACTGCAGATCAAACCAGAAGTTCTCCACGTCCTGCAGGGTGTTGAGGACGTAGCAGCGCCGCTCAAAGGGGCGGCTGCTCTGGGCCAGGTTGTAGTGCAGGTCACAGATGGTGGTGTCCACAATCACAGCATTTCTCTTCATGTACACAAACACCTGCCAGACACAGCACAGCTCAGGCTGTAAACATCACTGAAACTGTCTGATTAGCAGGACACACCAGCTAGGTTAGGACTGGACAGTTTCTGTCTTTGCTGCTTTTAGCCACTGCTCTGACAGAGGCCACACCCATTCCCACACTACGGCTCTGTATTCCCAAATTCCCTTGACAGCAATTCAGAAATTTCCTTTCTAGATTTAGAACAGTTTCTTTTCTCCCTTGGGCACAGGATATTCCAAGTTTCCAGAGAGTAGCTATTTCCTGCAAGTCCTCACTTGGGATTTGAATGGATGTGTTTGGGGCCTCATTACCTTTCTTATCCTCATAAAGTCTGGTCTGCTTTCTCCTTTGCAGGTGCTCTCTGTCTAAAAAGATGCACATGAATCTCATTATTTTACTCTGATCAGTGTCTTTATTCTGTGTCAGACATTCAGCTTAACAGCTTGATGGAAAAGAATGTGTCATACTCATTTTTCATTAAGTCTTGCCAGCCTGGGACCTCCTGGGTCATTATTGTGTGCAGTGTTCAGCATTATACATGTAAGTAGTTCCTTTGCAGAGAAAGTGGTGAAAAACTACCTGCACAACTTACAGTACTACTTGGATCTGGAGGTTTGCACATACCTGTGAAACATCAGCACTTCATTTAAGGTAATTATGAACCAAAAATCTTGAAAGATTCATGAAGAGTAACTGCCTTTAAATTGTATTTTAATTACCTGGTCTTTGTCTTGAAACTTCTCTGTTGGGCCAAACTGCAGAAGTCCCATGTAACATAATCTCTGAAGGTTTTCTACCACTGAGAAGATGTACCTCCTGTAGCAACGGTAGGTGTGCTACAATTAGCACTCATGAAAATAGAGAGGTGATACCAGGAAATCCAATTTTCATGCAGCAACCTGAGCTTTCAGCAAACCACTGAGTTACAGAATTTCTGAAGTGGTATTTTTGCTTGAATTATCAGCCTATGGAAAACATGTAATACCCCAAGGGTCCAAATTTCCTTTCCTAAAATCACAAACCCAATATTTTAGTCAAATACTAAGCAAAATTTTGCTAGCAAGAAAGAAAATTAGCCAGAAATAACATCAATAAAAATTAATTAAATGTGGTCAACAGCAGTTCTGCAGGCAATTTCACATTATGTAAAGAAGACAGGAGTAAGAAAACATGACTGCTAAATACAGGCCTTCATACATGTATGTATGAAGAACTGGGCAATGATTCTTGGAGTTCAGATTGTATAAAATTACTGCTCCAAGAAACTGCTTTCAGTTGCTCAAAGCTTTGGCAGTGCAAAAAGTGCAGCTTTTTCCATCCTGCATACCTACATCTATGGCAAAATTCTGGCAGTTACAGGAACCTTCTGCAAGATTTAGTTTCTGAGACAGTTTGTAAAAAATTAGCTTTGCCCACATTTAACTTCGCTAAGATCTAATTAAATGCAGTTAAATGGGAATTGGATTTTGGCAGGAGTTTTCTCTGGGGGTCAGAAAGATCAAGCTTAGAAATTTGGCACAGTTAGAAGTTTTAGTGAAAGGAAGCTGAAGAGACAGCTTGGTTATGTGTCATATTGTTTTGCGTCACCCCATCAGATGGAGCCTGCAGATTTCAGAAAATGCCATCAATCCAGTTTCTAATTGCTCAGATTTAACAATAGGTTTGGAATTGCAAACCTGGGCTCCCCAGGAGCCTTGGCTGCTGACACTGCCCAGCCCTGTTCCCTCACCAAAGGCACATTTGCTGTTTTGGAAAATGTCATGTAAACCTCCAACCATTCACAAATTGTCAGCAGTGACTTTCTGGGGAAAACTAACATGGTGCTCTTGATTCCACACATTCACATCACTTTCCTTTCTTCAGTCCAGCCTCAAGTTTTACATCTCCTGGAAGAGAAATGGCAAACCATGGCAGATGTGCCACGGAGAGTATGAGGAGAAACTGGATGTGTGAGAGGCAGGAGCTGGGAAATGTGGTACCTCTGGAAAGATTTATGAAGGACAGCAACACTTAGACCCTATTAAATTCTGAATTTAGCAGCAGTCTGGAGTGTGTTTTATACAGAAGCAACATCCTGCTCATGAGTTATGAAGGACAGAACCTCCCAGCTCTCAAGCACTGCCTGACAGCATACATGAATATTGTTTATTAGTTTCTTATTACCTTCTATTTGGGAGAGAAAAATACAGTTTGGCACTCTATCCTTTGAGGATTGATGGTCCTTGTCTTAAGTGCCACAGTTCTCTTTGACACAAACAGGAAATAACTGAGAAAACAATCAGCCCCTGTTGGTCCTTCTCTAGAGCCACTTATTTTGACTCAGCTGCTTACCTTTTGTAGAGGAGCTGCTGTCGGACTGGCCTTGGAAGAAATCTGATCAGAGTGTGCTTTTTTAGTGGATCATTTAAAAAATCTTCCAGACCTTCAACCTAGAATTATTTCAGAAGTTAATCAAAATGCAAAATGTAACTATCCCCTCAAGTATAAAGCTTTGTTACTCAAATTGCCTACTAAAATATTTACTAAGTAAACCTTACTGCTTTTGTAAAATGCTTAAACATTATTCTTCTTAATCAATAAGGCAGAGGATTCAGTGAGATTATAAAAAGCTCCTGGCAAAATAGTAGCTTAAAAATTTGCAGTATTACAGGGCTGTACCTTTTTTTTTCTCACTGAGCCTGTGAAAAGCAACTACTTTTTCTGTCAAAGACGGAAGTGTCTCCTCTCCTCTCCAGGGTCTAGTTTTGCTAAAACAGATTAAGGGAGTATTTCTCCCAGCCTATAGGTACAGCTGACATCATCAGACTTCGAAGGAAAACAAAAGATCACTGTACCTTGTAGCTGACTTGTACAATCTGAACAAAGACTGAGAGAGGCAGGCAGAGGAGAATGTCACTGACCAGAGCCCATCCAAAGCCAAACTCCCTGTGCATGGGCAGGGGAGGGATGTAACGCATCCAGGAGGAGTCATCCACGTACACTGCCAACAAGAACACTGCCTCAGACACAACAAACCCAACACTCACACCAGGAGTCCCACTGTGACTGCTCAAGCACCACGCAAATGGCAGGTCGCAGTCTGAAAATCCAAAATTATCTGAAAATTCTCTAAACACTTGATATTCAAACCTTTCTGAAGGAGATTTTTATCTATTTTGCAGTGCTGAACCATGGTAAGGTCTGTAGTTAAGTCAGGATGTGCCACTTCTTACCTGTTTGACTAGACAGATCTACTTCAGTCTCCTGTGCAGAGCTCTCAGGATTCACCACAGTTGTCACAATTTCTAAGGTCCCATCTGGCTGTGCTTCAATTACAGCTGCATTCTCATCCAGCCCTTGTGTTTTCTCACCATCACTGCCTCCTTTTTTCCGTGTTTCATTTAAAGGGTGTCCATAAATTAAATACCAGAGGAACATGTGGACCATTCTTAAACGGGGCATTTTGGGAAGAAAGCCAAGAGAACGTCCAAGTCCTGGAACTGGGAGGGAAGTAAGACAAATTAGAAACAAAAAGAGGATTAGAGCAGGAGAAACAGCTCCCTGCACAAAAATAATATGAAGAAAAGTGGAAGACAGGCAATTGAAAGTAAATGCAAGTCACATATAGTAAAGAAGTAGTAGTAAATACAAATGCTCCAGTTCACAACTGTAGAAAACACAAACAGCTAAGAAAACATTGGGTAAGTTAGACTGGTTTAATATAAATCCAATTTTATTTCTATAGTAGAAAAAACCTATTTGTAACTTAGGAGACATCTAGAAATTATTATTATTAATAATAAATGGGAAGGTGAAGGATGACAGAAACCCCAAAGGTGGCAGTACCTGTAACAGGATGATAGTTCTTCAGCTGTATTATGCCCATTTTATCATCAGTTTTTCCTGCCCGACTATTATCAGCTTTACATGAGCTTTCTTGTGTATTTCCTGAATCAGGAATTGCCTCTTGACCTTGGTTTTCCTCCTCACCATGGTCCTGGGATGTTGGTGTCTGGGGGACTTTAATCCTGTAGTAAAACCACACAGCACTTAGGCAAAAAACAAGCAGAGCTCAATTCCTCTTTTCCCTGACTTCAGGAGACATCAGCACGTCGCCTCAGCTTTGTGCTTCCATTTCTCTGTTGCTAAAGAAGAGATTGTTTGTTTTGCTTACCTTGTGTTTATTTCCTCTGCATATTTTTGCATACCCTAGATAAGCCAAGCTCCCCCAAGCCATCCCTGACTTGCCTGTTTGCAGTGCTGGAGTTGGAGATGCGGAAGCGCACCTGCTCGATGGCGCTTTTCACCAGGGGATCACTGGGACTCACCGAGGGGTGCACAACAAACTCCACCTGTCCACAGCAGCACAACACAAACAAAAGGTGTTTATGGAGATACTGGCTCTTAATCAGATGCATAATCCTGAGATTAACAGTTAATTAATTTCATTTTTGGATGAAAATTCCTGTTGCTACTTTGTATTAAACAAGAGGTCAAAGTACATGGTCTTTGTACCAATAAACTGCCAATGACATTTCTACAAACCTTGGTGTTTGGGTTTTTAAAAGCTGAAATAGCTGAGAAACAAATACTTTGACTTGTAAATATTAGGCTGAGAGGGAAAAAAGAAAAGTCAGAGCTCATTAGGTGAAAGGCCAAGCTAACATGTATTGTTGCTGAAAGCACACACAATTCAGATTGGTAAGATTTCATATGTGCTCTACACTAATTATGCAGCAGGTAATTTTCAGTGGATTCAATTCTCTGCTTATGAGCATTTCACACTAGAGTAAGTGACAAGTCTCAGCGCCACAACCACAGACATCTGACTTCCATGAATCTCAGTAACAGCAGATTTTTGTTTTAAAATTAAAAATCACATTCTATAAATTTCAACTCAGAAGCTCACTGAGGATTTTTCATACACTCTTGGCTTTCAAAAGGGGTTTAAACAGATTTTTGGTGCAGCCTGGCAGTGCAGGGAAAGAACCATGAATCACAGAACAGATAAGCAGCAGAACCTCTGGGAAGGGAGATTCAGACTTTGGTCTCTGGCCTATTCCTTGGTCTCAATTATCTGCAGCCCAATAATGGACAGCAGAGATCTGGTTCTCACAGTAGCTTAGTTTGACATGAAGCCTCTGGGTAGCTCCCCTGTGGGTTCTGCTACAAGAAGTGAAGTCACCCATGCATTCCAGCAGGAAGGCCCAGGGCAGTGTGAGAACTGAGATGAGGGCTGTGTCCGTGCTGTCACCTTTTTGCTGATGCCATCCTGGATGACCGTGGTGCGGTAGAGCCTGAGGAGCCCGTCCCGCGCCAGCCTCTGCACCAGCCGCACGATGGACTTCTTGCAGCACTTGGTGGAGACACCTTCTTGCTTCTCTTGATCCATCACCATCTTCTGAAGTCTGAAAGATGCCAAAGATACCTTGCATTTTAAGGCCAGCAATGCTCCAAACTGCCTAAGTGCTTTGTTAGAGGATGTGGGGTGAATGGCCATTTCTTTTCCTGCTCCCGTTTCCCTTTTGCTAGAGACAACTGGGAACTTTGCTTTACATTTCAGCTCTATTTTCTTTGTACTCAAGCTTTTCCTTGTTAGGGGAGAACTGCTGCTCAGATGACAGCAAATTCTCAATGCCTGATTCCCCTGTGCATGGCTACAGTGCAATTACAACTACAGCCTCCCTAAGGTCAGGAGAACCTATAGCTTTTTTAGTGGTGATTTAGTGGTGATAGATGGAAATGCACTCAGTTCTTGCAGTTGTGAGCTCAGCTCGAGGCAGAAAGGGTTTATTCAGTGGTTTCAGAGCACAGAAATGACTCCTGCATTCACAACATGGATACAGACACACATATCCCACCACGTGAAGCCAGCTCTCTTCTCTCTTCTTCCCCTGCCACAGCTGGCAGGGGTGTGCTCACACCTTACTCTCCCCCTGCCTGTTCCCATGCACTTTCCCACAAATGTCCCAGGCCCTAATTCTGGGCTCTCTCAGTCCTGGGGAATCAATTCTGAAAAAGGCCTGGAAGATAATAAGGGAATGAAGCAATAACTGAATGTACACATGGACTTCAACGGTCCCGAAAGATTACCACATCCTGGTAATTAACAAATGCAAGTAAATTTCCTTGGCAGAGACTGGGGAGGGACAGGACTTCCACTGACTCTGAGGAACCTGTGAGGAACCTGCTGGCAGCACTGAAGGGACAGCAGAGACCTGAAATAGCTTTCAAGCCTGTGCTTGGATGTGACTCAATCAATCACTGCTGAGGCTGGTGCCAGATGAGGCTCTAATTTTGTAACACTCTGCAATTAAACAAGGTGACAGAAGGTTTCAAAATTCTCAGACCAGAGGAGATTAAGGCCACGATTTCTTACTAAATTCCTACAGCAAGCAGCCTTGGGTATACTGACATGCCAGGATCTTCTGTGCTGACACAGAAGATGGATGTTGCAATCCAATTTGTGACAACACAGTACTGCCAATTTAGGATCCAGCAGAGCACCAGAATTCTCATTTCTTTTTGGAGGTGAAATCTTAAAGGGCTGAAAGACATTTTAACATTTAGGGAAGTATCTCCAGCTCAGATAGGGTGTCAGGAGAAGACATATAACACCACATAAAACTGCACTGAAAAGCAAACTTTGAGGGCCTTGCTAGGATGTCAGTGACCAGTGATGAGTGACACGAAAACCTGAGTCTCTCCAGTCCACACAGAATAACACATGAACATGTTTGAAACCACGCAGAGATTAAACTGATGCAGATGCAAGAATCCTGCAGCAGGGAAGTGCTGTACCTTAAAGTGACTTGGGTCACAGCCCAAGTTTGGCACACTGTGAAGGGATAAGTAAGTTCTTTGATCTGTATTTATGAGACATATAACGAACGAAAGCACTCCTGTGTAATTATCTGCATGGCTACTGTTGCTTCCAAAGAGCCGATTAAGATTCAACCTCCCTCTCCATCCTTACAGCAATGGTGCCAGCAGGGACAAGCCAAGGCAGAAGGAACAAGCCCCCAGTGCTCCCAGCACCCCAGAGGGGAGCTCAGCCTGCTCACGTGAAGAGGCTCTCGATGAGGCGCAGGTTGCGCACGGCCTCCACGATGAGGTTGCGGCGCTTCAGCAGCCTGTAGGTCTCGTGGGGCCTCTCCAGCGCCGCCGCCTTGCAGCGCTTCTCCTTCCTGGGGCCACAGGGCTTCTGGGGACAGCACAGCACATCAAAAGGGGGCATCAGCCAGCCTGCCTGCAGCTCAGTGGGGGCTCCTCACACAGCAACAGCTGAGCAATTCCCCGTTTGGATGGATTTATTTATAATAAACTACTCAGATGAAGATTGTCTCTTATCTCCCGTTCCCAGGAAGGCAGACAGGGGATGACAGCAGCCCTTGTGTGCTACATTAAGGTCTGATATGCATTCAGTCAGCACAGAATTCGGAGGGCACCAGGGAACTAACCCAGAACTGTATTTTGGACATCTACCCTCCTATCTTCTGGAAAAATTTTCACTCATATCTACAATGCAGTGCAGCCAAAATATGAATGTACTTTGAAATTAATTAAAAAAAACCCCAAAACAATTTGATAAATAAATACAAAACCTCTAGTTTGAATTCTTACTACAAGAGCACAAAACTTAGCTCAGACAGCTGTATCAATAAGAAGATATTAACATGTGATCTTACCTTAGGATCTTCAAGTCTGACTTCCTCCACCTCAGCCACATCTCCATCTTCATCCATGGGATGAGCACAGGTAGAAACATTGGACTCCTGCTTTAGAGTTCCCAAAGTAGAACTATCCCCTGAAATATTGTCTGGGAGCTCCTCAGGATCTTCAAGAATTTGAGGAGAAGGCTGCTTCTTTCCCTGAGACTTCACAGCTGTTGGCTTTGAGCCTGGTTTGAGAACAAAAAGCCTTGTAATTGTTCTGCTCTCCCTCTAAGAGGCATTCTCCCATCTACCCAGGTAGCTGCACTTAAAAGCATTCTGCTACACTCTTCATACATTCTGCCCTGCTGGAAGCAGTGGTTTGACCATGAAAGACTGCATTCAGCCTCCAAAAGTTAAGCTAAAAAAAAGGTGAACTCTCTGTCATCAAATAATTCTCTCCACTAAGAAACCTTTTCACAGCTTGGAAAGTCATGAAGGGCTTATCCAGAAACTGCTGTCTGAAGAAAGGAGAGTTTCTGTCTCAAAGATTCGCAAGTTCTGTCAGAAACGTGACTTTTCTGACTCAAAGCAGAATAAGAATTTAATACTACTCCAAAGATAATCTACATAAAAAAATAGAGATCTCCTCTCTTCCACTGGAGTTTACCAGAGAAGTTGTAGGAATACCTAAATACGTTTAAAAAATTAAGTAAAAAAAACCCCACTATATTTTTTTAAAAAATATGTGCCCCAAAGGCTGGTAGCTTTCACACTAACACGTTCCAAATAACTACAGAAGAAGCTGAGGTAACTAACTTCAGGGGACAAAATTTTTGTAACAGAATTGTTACAAAATTCTCAGGTGAGTAAGGCTGTGGGTCAAGTCATCCCAACCTTGAATATCCAAGGAGCACAGTGTGTGAGCTCAGGGAAAAGGGGAGACTTAGCAATGGGGTCAGGAGAGGCAGCACAAACACTAATGGGACACAGACACCAGGCCACACTTCAGCCCCAACAGTCTCCAGAGGTTACCACACTTGGTGCTCCAAACCAGAGCAATTTGGGGACAAAGCAGGGAAATAACCAAATAGGCTTAAAAATAAATATGCGATCAAAAACCATAATGGAAGCTGATAACATGTTATTTGTTCTTTAATAAAATGATCCATAAGAAAAATGCAGGTAGCTCTCCAGATTTCCAAATCACAAGTTACCTTTGGCTGGTGTTGTCTGATGAACATCACCTTGGACACTTGATTTCACTGGAGAACCAGCGCTGGCTTTTTGACCCTTTCCTCTCTTCTTCCTGTCCTTCCCTTCTTCCTCATTGTCAGATGCTGAGGCCACAGTCTCCTCTTCTCCAGGAGATGCATCTTCCACAGGTGGGGAATCTTCCGGCACCAGAGCCAAAGTAACTGTAGCCAGCTGCTCACTCCTGGCCTTCTCCCTCTCAAACTGACGGTTTAAATCACTTTCCTCTGCAAAAATGTAGGAAATGTACTTTGTTGTCCTTTGCCGACCTTCATCCTCCATAAAACCCTGAGAAAACAGTTGGAATGTTATTTTACCACCTTGCTTCTCCATTCCATCAGTGTTCTCCAGCATCAACAGAGAGAAAATGTTCTCAGTGTTATTCCCCACCCATCAAAAGATACAATACTGTTTTTTTCTAAGTAACAAAAATGTCCCTAACCTTCACGTAGAGAAATCAAAAGGAATTCTGTGGCTGAAAAACAAACAAATCTGCATTACCAGTGTATTAGAATGGAACTCCTACAGTACGTGGGATGGAGAAAAGTCTAAGGAAGAACAAACTGCGTGTATTCAGAGTAGAAATCAATTTTTTTCAGAACAAAAATGTTTGTGAAATAAGGGCACTGCAGCTCCCTGAGTGACTCACACTTCAGTGGCAGTCTGCCCTGCCTGCTCCAACAGGAGCTTACAAGGATCTACAAACTCACACACTGCACCTATCAGTAAGGGAAGATTTCATTTTCACAGCTGACTGGGGGAAAACATATATAGATCTTCCAATGGTTTATACAGCTTGTTTTTAACTCTACACAACCTTCTATTGAATGACAAGATTTTTCTAAAAAGATTCCCAGTTGAGAGAAGATGGCAATTATCCTGCCTTTGTGGAAAGGGACTGTTGGGTACATGCAAGACATGACAGCTGGATTTGTCTAGTGAAAAAAAAAAAACATTGAAATATCTGGAAATAAGAAGTTTAGTCAGCATAACTCCTACAGAAGTAACTGTTTTGCTCCAGAATTTCCTGGTATTTTCAAAAGGCAAGCAGATGACTGATCTTTCATGGACAGAAGGTCTTTGAGAAGATTCTTCAGTGCTTTGATTAAAGCAGGTTGCAATCCTAATACTGAACCCTTGCCTTACACACCTTTTACTCAACTGAATTAATTCTCTTTTCCAGGACTCTCCTGCTGTCATTCTCAAATCTCTGCTGTTTCTAATGTTTGAGGTTAACAATGTTATTCCCAGAGTAACCAAAATTGTACCTTCAGTTTCAATAAGTGTCTGAATTATTTTATTTTAGCCTCACCTTGACAACTTTGTACCTCTCCAGAAGACGACAGAGCATCCTGGCTTCCAGCTTCCCCACATTCATAGCCAGGCGAAGTTCTGCCTGAGAAATACCTTTGGTTCCTCTACTTTCAACTGTTGCAGAAAGGAAAACAAAAAAATATCTCAGGGAAATCATCTGACTGAATTTTATATATATCTATTTCTATATGCATTAATATTTCCCTGAACAACACTATATGCCAGAATATTAAATTTAAGATTCCCCACTAACTAAAGTTTTACAGACACATAAAATATTCAGCCAAATACTGTCATAAACCACAATTTTACATGAAGCAGTGCCCAGCAGAATGAGGTATGGAGGTGACAGCTTCAAATTAGAAGCATGGACGATTTTTCTTCCCTGGCAGCTTTCCACAGTTGGATATTAATTTCTCCATTTGGAAAGGAAAAGAGATAGGAGAATAATGAACACTGTTTGCTTCATCTTTTCTCATCCCATCACAACATCCTGTTTCTGCTGGGTAGTTGCTAAGCTTCCAGCAAGGGCTAACAGGTGGCAGCATCCCCAGTCTAATCTGGATTTAAAGCTCATTTCGCTATGAAGAAATGACACTTCCTGACACAAAAGCAACCAGAATGTAAAAACACCTGCAATATACACATTTCTTTTATACTACAAGGAGTAAGGAGGTAATGGGAAAAAGTCTTCAGATGTCTTAAATCACCTACTTAACTGATATGCCTGGGTGAGCATATCCCTTTCACAAACAATATCCACAGGCTGAACAACTTTTGTGATGATCTCTTCATCATCGTCATGATAATCTTCCATTTTCTTCCGAAATTCCTTCAGCAGTTTAAGGCAACGGACCATGACATCAGTCCCTGTGAAAAATGAGTGTTAGTAACAACTCCTAACAAAGTGCAGGGGGTGTGCACTGCTTCAAACAATTTTACTTTTTTCTCAACATGAAGAAGTAGCAGTGCAATGGGGAACAAACGACTAAAGAGAGCTGGGTATTTCTAGGAAAGGCTTCCAACAGCTTTTCCCTTCGTATGAATCTGGAAATCAGGTGAATTTTTGAGGTGCTCCAAACCTTTACATCTGTGCCAATGCTACTAGGACTCTGTTGTAGGAGAAACTTCCAGAGAATAAATAAATCAATGGAAGGATTAAGTGCTGATCCCCAGACTTACAGCTGGAGAACACTTAATTGACTGGGAGATCACTCACTGGGTATTAACCCATTCCTTTTTACAAGGACAGAACACGCTGCTGCCCACCAGCCACAAGATTCTTGCAGATAATTTAATTCCACATTCCTTGCTCCTGACCACCAGCTGTGCTGTGGTAACTCTCCATTCACTGGGCTCTCCCAGCAAAGGAGTGAGGACAGCTGGCTGCAGGAGAGCTGAGCTCCTGCTGGACCCTTCACACCAGTGGTAACTCTAACTGGGTTACTGGGCACTGCCACCCTGGCAAACAGCAGTGATTCAGCAGCTGCTGCAGCAGTGGGGAGAACATCTCCAGCCATCCCTGCTCCTCTGCTACAGACTGCTGTGAAAAGGCCAGGTGAAGACCTTAGTTGGAATCACTAAGGTTTCAGCTGACGAATTTTATCTTGTGTTTATATGTCTGAGCAGTTACTGAAGCCCAGCTGATACAAAGTTAACCCACAGTCACTTCACCATGTGACTGTGCTCCAGGCCACATGATTCCATAATTTTTACTCAAGCTGAATCCTTTCCCTAGGATGCTGCTTAGGATTTAAGTGCTGACATTTTGGTAGGGCTGCAAGCACTGTTATTACATCCTTTGTATTTCTACAGCCCATCAATTTTCAGTGGAAGAAGTATTTGAAAAAAAAAAAACAAAACTCCCCATAGAAAAGAAATCCCCCAAACCAAACCAATTCCTTTTCCTTTAGCTCCTGCTGCCCAATAATAATGTTCTTCCCATAGCAGATGCTCTATCTTCATCCTCAGAGTGTCCCACATATTTCTATCTTCTTTCCTGTATAACTCCAGAGATTAAACTATCTTGATCTCTGCTGAAAATCAGCTATTATTTTAATTTATCCTCCTTTAATACCTAGTGTTTTTAAGGCATTTTTGTGGATTTTCAGCTTTTACATCTGTAAGATGGAATTATCATTCAAGTGAAAGATTCATCAAGTGGCATTTTTCCCAAATTTAAGCAGCAAATGCAGCTGCTGTTTTGCCCATCTCTGACAGAGCATAAAACACCAGGTTTGTAAGTGGACTTGTATTTCCTTGTCTTCCAAGTAAATACCTTAATTGCAAGTTAAATGCTTTCACTACTGCCTAGAAACTGTGTTTTAGGAGTGCTGTCTGGTCTTTTGGCTTTTATTTCCAAGTGTTTGCAGCTCATTAGAACATCCCTGAAAGACCTGGGTCATTTCTCTCTCAGCCATCTTGATGCTGTACCTACTTTTGGCCTCTGCTTCTCTTTGTTCAGAATACACTCTCCCTACAGAGAATTTCCTTTCCCCAGACTTAAAAGATTTGAAGGAATTTGTCTTATCGACAGCCTTAATCCAACTCCATGTAATCAGCACTCTTTTTTGTCTTCTGGAATTTTTCATGGTTTTATTGGCTCTTTCACTTGCTCCTTTAAGATCACTCCTATTCACAAAGACTATGTAATTTGCAATGTTTAGTTCATATCAGATTTTTTTTTCTCACAAACAATTCATTATATCTCTAAAATAGACACTTCATCTTTCAGAACTATTTTCTTTTTAACCCTGCAAATCTGCCTCTTAGGATTTTCTGTGATTAAGGATTTGGTTTAGATTTCCTTCAGGAATTGTATTAATTCCACTGGAGGTACTATCCCTCCTCATACTTTCCATTATTATTTTTTGTAGTTTTTTCCCCAAGCAAGTTTTATCTGTATCTTTTCCTGAGAACAGTTGCTTTCTTTTGTTCCCTTTCCTCACACAGTCCTGCTCTTTGTCTCTCCACTACATGCTTGGAAGTTATCAGCAGTTCCTGTGAACCAATTAAATTGGCATTCAAGGCTGGTTATGCATTAAACCACCCCTCAGCAGACCGTGGCTTTTTTGGATAGCAATTTTGGGTATCCCACTTACCTCAACCCTGTTATCAGCTCAGCTGGTGAGATAATAATGCCAAGGGTGTGGGTTTGACCCCTGTATGGGCCATTTACTTAAGAGCTGGGCTCAATGGTCCTTGGAGGTCCCTTCAAACTCAGAATATTCTGTGTTCTGTGAATTCCAAGTGCTGTAAGACCTTACTTCCATTATTTGATAGGAAACTTTTCAGAGAAGCTTTGCATTCTCATGACTTTCAGGAAAAGTCATACCCAAGAATGGTCTGGTTTTTAATTTATTTCATAATGAGCCCTCTTTTCATTAAGTTTTGTAGTTTTTGGTCAAGTTTATTGACTTGTCATTTAACTTCAACCTGAAAGGTCAGCACACTGCTGTGTTCCTACTCTGTATTAGCTTGAGCAGTCTTATCAGGTCCCAAGACCACAGCTTAGATTAATATTCAACAAACTTGATGATATTCACTCATTAAAAATCTGTAACAAATGCTTAATTCAAGTGGGCTGCAGCATTTTAACTTCAGTAGCACACTTATCTACATAATTGCATGGACAGATTTTTTACTTACACCTCTTTTAATTTAAGATATGAAGCTCATAGATAGAATGGCATCAATGCAATCACACAAAAAGAGAGCAAATCCATTACCTTTCTTTGTCTTGCAGGGTCCTCCATTGGGATTTATGTCTTGCAAGGGGACAGACACAACCTTGGCCAGGCCAGCATTCATCATGTACTGATAGAGACGTTTGAAGGTTCTCTCACAAAGGCCCTGATGCAAAGAGAAATGGCAAAAGTCATTGCAGCCCAAAAGCTTCCCCTGCTGCTGACTGGTATCAAAATCATTGACACCACCTGCTCTTACAACACTGTATTTTGGGGTAGGATATCCATAAGAAACTTAAAAGCCTTTTAGTGCAGAACCTGAGATGTTCCTGAGTGTGTTGTATCCCTCCAGCTCTGCCACCCACACAAACAGCAGCAGTGGAAAAGTAAGAACTGCATGATGACATCCACTGACAAAACTTTTCTGAAGCTGTGGTTGGAACAGAACTGCTTCCCTATGACAACCACCAACAGCAGTTTGATCTGGCAGGTTTTTAAGATCCTTTTCCTACCCTAGCCCAGAATTTTGTGCAACATTTGAAGCAGGCAGTATGAATGAGTGCCTTTGATACTCAGCATCTAGATTCCACTGAATGAGAATTTGAAAGAGTAATGAATCTCACCAATTCTTCCCTCAAGTTTCCTAATGTTTCCATCTGGTTTGAACGAGCACTTAGCATACTTGAGAGCTTCTCCATCAGAATATCATATTTGCTCCTCCTAAGCAAGAAAGAGAATTATTTTACATGTAAGTATGCACATAACTTCATAAACACGACTTGTAGCTTTAGAAACTGTCAGTCACTAGAAAAAGTATGCTAAGTGTTCTCAGATTGGTTTAGGAATTCTAGTTTTCTTTTCCTCCTGTGAATAGCACATGAGATAATTTGTCTCTAAGAAAAGACCTCAAAGAGGAAACAATGACTAAGCCCAAGCTGTTACTTCACTGACAACCCACAGAAGCACAAGTTCTAATCATAAACAAGACAGGAAAACAAAACAAAAAATCGACTAGAAATGTGTTTAAGTAAAAACAGTCAAAATGAACGGAGTGATTAGTGCTACAAAAAGAAGAACTATGTTTATGCAGGCAGGTGACAGGCACTAGGAGAACCTGTTGTTTACAGCTCCAAGACAAGTTTTAAAGTGTCCGACATTTGGAAGAGGAGTTAATAAATTGGAAACTGTCAATTGCAGGAAACTTTGATGGCTCTGTGACAACAGAACAATCCCTCATCACAGCAAAAGGTCAAAGAGTACCCAGGAGACCCTTAAAGCATACCTATCAACGTGGAAGCGAGTCAGGAGCAGCAGAATTGAGTACTGCTGTGCTCCACTCGGCAGCCGGATGACGTGGGACTGCATCGTTATCAGACCACTTCTGTCCAACACCCTCCTGTGATAATGGAGCTTTCCAGCATCCACTCTGAAGAAAAGATGGCAAGATAGCTATAGGAATAGGAACTTCTGCAAACAAATTCTAATTATCCAGTACCCAGAACGCTTTACCTATATTACCTATAGCCTTAGTGATACGTGCTAATTTTCAAAGTGACAACTCAAAGTTAGGAAGTCCACAATTAAGAAAACCTGTGAAATTTATTTTCATAGTTAATCCAATTAAACAGAGAAACACCTCTGATTTTAACCTAGAGCCTTTAGGCACAGAGTGTCATGACATGGTTTGATGAATCAGCACTGTATCCCCCTTTTCCATTCTCTCTTTCTAATTCGTGGCCATGCTGCAGTCACTGCCCTCCTTGGAACAGCTCTGGGATTCATCTCCCTCCTTGGTGAGCTGGCTTGCGCCACCAAACTGACAGAAAAGCACCCATAAGTTTTCCCCTGTGTCCCCATCATCTTAGTTACCTACAAGAGCTCCCTAAGTGGCAAAAAACAGCACCAGGTGGTGTGCAAGCTACAACCCACCCATGTCCTAAAAGCAGTGAACCCTTAGAGCAATGCTGATATTCTCCAGAACTTCAGGATGCATGCAGAAGTTCTCTAAGAAGATGTGTAATGCTCCTCCATCAGCAAAATACATGGCCTAGTTTGGGAGCTGGTAACTCAGGCTCCCTCTCAATGGAGGAGATGTCACACAGGGAAATGCTGCGGACAAAAGGTGCCTGTCCAAGAATTCCTTCAGAATGTGGGTAAGATACTTACACAGCAATATAGAAAAGGAAATGAAAATCATTTTTCTATCCCAAATTTGAAGAAAAGGTTATTTAGAAAAAGCAAGAATTTCCATGAATCAGAAACCAGTGTATTGACCCACCAGACAAATTTGTGGCTCTCTGTGAAAATATCAGGAATGGCAATGAACTCAAGGATAAGACCAGCACAGTTCTACCAAACCAAGCACTCCTTGTAAGTAAGGATGAAACACTACAGTCCAGCTGTTCACACATTCACAGGAATACTTAAAAACAACCTCGGATTTAATTCTCAGAGCAAGACCCAAACTTACTTGAAAGCCCCAGTGTGAAGGTCCCTCTGAAGCTCTCCCTGCCAGCGAGCTCTGCCCAGACGCTCCAGAATGCAGTAGGAAAAGTCAGGGAGTTTCAAGTCAGGGTCCCCCTCCCAGCCTATCAAAGCTCTGTAACGCTGCTCCTGGGAAGCAACAATGACTAATTGCTCTCCCCATCTAAGAAACAGAAGGAAAAGTAATGTTTTGTTACTGGCTCCATAAAAACAGAGATCAATCCCTTTCTCTCCACAAATATCATTCCTGATATAATCTGTACAAATTGAGTAAGGATTAAATTTTAGAACTTAGAAGTTTTTTAATGCCAGATATAAGGATTTCACTCACTTTTCAACAGCTTCTTTGTAAGTATAACAAGGCTGCAAATCCCTCTTCCTTATTTGATCAGTGATGTCTACTCTCTCTTTAAAATACTGGCAGGAACCTTGTATGCCATCTTTGTTATCCAAAATCATGTGGATAGGATAAATATCATCTGAAGAAACAGGATCTCTTTTGGTTTCCAATATTCCTGTCTCAAGGTCTATTTCTTCATATCTGAAATAAAACCAAAGAGCCAGTATTTAACCAAGCAAGGAGAAATACAAGATTGTCACAAACAATGCTGATATTTCTAGCAAGTATCTTGGAAAAATGAATCTCCTTTGAAACCTCCAAACTGGAAAAATACAAAGAGCAGAGCTGTATACTCTTCAAGCATGACCAAACTTTTTCAGCATGCAGAAGGTAGAAGGAGGGAGAAGCATTATTTAATCTTTGAAAAGTCAAAGATGTTGTGGGAATAAGAGAAACGTAAGAGTTCACAGGTAAGGAAAATGACAGGTACATCCACCCTGCTGACCAGGACATACAAATTCTGCCTGTGCCTAGGTAGCAAGCAGTCATTTGAATGGAGATCAGGCCAGGACTCATATACAGGTCTCCTAAATCACAGAATCATCAAAACTGGAAGAGACCTCTAAGATTATCCAGCCATCCACCAGCAGCACCAGTGTGACCCCTAAAATCCATCAGTCAGCGCCAGACCTTAAACATCTCCAGGCATTGTGCCTCCACCACTTCCCTGGGCAGCCTATTCCTAAGCGTGACCCCCTGAACAGTGAAAATTCTTTGTATAACACCTGAACAGGTTGGCTCAGAGCCACCCTCGGCCCTGCCTGCTGTCAGCGGCTACCGACGTGCTGCTGCAGCAAAGCCTGGGCGAGAACGGCAACCGGGCCGGGTCTAGCCGGCAATGAGTGAGGGTTTAGCCCCTCAACTACGCCGGGTTTAGCCCGGCGACCAGGCCCGGCTTTAACCCGGCATTCGGGCCGGGTTTAGCCCGCGACCAAGCCCATGTTTCGCCCAGCAATCAGTCCCGGATCTCCGGCGGGAAGGGGCCGGGGCCGCCCGGTCGCTGCCCTCACCGGTCGTGCAGGCGGAGCGGCGGGCGCGGCCGGGGCAGGAGGTAGAAGCGCACGTCGGGCTGGGCGCTGAGCGCGGCCCAGAGCAGCTGCTGCGTGTCGGGCTCCAGCGGCAGCGGGAAGGGCGGCGAGCGGGCGGCCAGGCGCTGCCAGAGCGCGGCCGCGGTGATGCCGTCCAGCCCCTCCAGGGCCACCTCGTCCAGCAGCGCCCACAGCGGCTCCATGGCCTCCATCCCCGCCGCCGCTTCCGGGCCCGCGGCGCGCAGGAACTGACGGCGGCCAGGCGCGACCGTCGCCAGGGAGACCGAGCAACAGGCCCGGCCCGGCCCGGCCCGTGCTGCCGGGGACTGTGTCTGCCCAGGGGCCGTGTCCGGGTCCGTGTCTGCTCGGGGTCAGTGTCTGTCCGGGGTCAGTGTCCGTGGTCCGTGTCCGGGGACTCTGTCCCGGGATCTGCGTCTGTCCGGGCTCTCTTTCCCGGTCCATATCCGTCCGGGAGCTCTGTCAGGGACTGAGTGTCCGTCCCGTGTCCGTGTCCACCTGGGGTCCCTCTCCGGTGTCCATCCAGGGCCTCTGTCCTGGGTCCGTGGCCGTCCTGGGGCTCTGTCCGAGGTCAGTGTCCGCCCAGGTCCTCCGGCTGGTGGCTCTATCCCGGGTCTGTGTCCATTTCCATCCCGGGTCTGTGTCCGTGTCCATCCGGGGCTGTGCCCGGTGATCTGTCCGGTGTCAGTGTCCATTTGGGGCTGTGCCCGGGCTCTATCCCGGGTCCGTGTCAATCCCGGGCTCTGTCCCGGGTCCGTGTCCCCCCGGGGCTGTGTCCCGGGCTGTGTCCCGGGTCCGTGTCCCCCCGGGGCTGTCCCGGGTCCGTGTCCCCCCGGGTCTGTCCCGGGTCCATGTCCTCCCGGGGCTGTGTCCCGGGCTCTGTCCCGGGTCCGTGTCCTCCCGGGGCTGTGTCCCGGTCCCTGTCCCGGGTCCGTGTCCCCTCGGGGCTGTGTCCCGGGCTCTGTCCCGGGTCCGTGTCCCCCCGGGGCTGTGCCCGGGCTGCCCCGCGCTGCCCGCCCCGCAGAGCCGAGGCGGGGCCGGGCTCTGGCAGAGCTGCCCTGCGCTCGGTACGAGACAAACCACGCGGTTCTCTCTTTGGCACAGAGCTCAACGAAGCGTGCTGGTGGCACATTGAAACTTGGGAGAGCGTAAGAGCACACCCTGGCACAACTTGCGGCAGCAAGGATTGCTGGAAAGATTCAGGTTTCCTGAATGGCAAGCCAGGTAAAATCTTTAATCAAACACTTCAAATAGATACAGCCTCAGCAGTGAACAAGCTGTAGGATGAACTGACCTAAAGAGTTGTAGCAGCTCAGAGAATTCCTTCCACAGCTGGGCTTTGGGCACAGCTCTTCAGCTGTGCCCCGGGGTTGTCTTGCTTCCAGGTCTGACATTATAAACTTGTCATGGCACATGACATAACCTAAACTTTTAGGTTTTTTTGGTTATTCTGTAGATTGTGAAGGGATTTGAAAAATAAGTAAAACAACTACTGTTTCCTCTGTTTTTCAGGAGCTTTATTTATAGCCCTGACAGCTTTATGCGTGGTTGAAGGAAGAATGTTTTTCAGTTTATAGCCTTCTCATCTATTGAGGGTGCAAAACCAGTGGTACTCCATAATAAATCATTCAGTGTGACCATTATATTCTCATTTCAGGTTTATATTAAGACATGGTGACTGACTTTGATGAAAAACATGACGAATATTTAATATCCCTTCAGCAGAGAAACCGGTAATATTCACATTTGTTTCCACTTTGGGTATGAAATATTTGTTGTGTTATATCAAATATCAGCAGCTGTGATGCAAAGTCTGACTTGCTGTGCCTTAAAACATTCAGGTGTTTCTCTCTTCTTCCCTTTGCTTCCTAAAAGTTCTTATATATTCCAGGGGAGATTACAATGTTTCTTCAACATTTAAAATATAAATACATTTATTAATAAAATAGTTACTTTTTCCACAGTGACAGGGAAGATTTTTGTTTATAGAGCAAGAGGTTGTAGATTCAGAAGTAACTGGCAGCTCACACTGTGAGGATGTAGTTAAGAGGCACAGTTGTTATGTTGTCAGAAATACAACAAAGTGGGAAATAAGAACAGCCAGGTTGCCTTTGCAAACTCCAGTGTTTTTCAGACAGGTTTCAAACATTTCTTTTCCTCTTTGTTCTTGTGTTCCTGTCACTATATCCTGGATAGGTGAACTTCATGGCTTATTTAGAGGAGTCTACAGAACTTTCTTGCTGGGCTCCTTCCTTTAACACAAGAGATTTCTAATCAAGTTATATAACAAACTGGTTTGGTAAAAAGACTTTGAAGGCCACAATTATGTTAAAAAACCAGCCAATTTCTGTGACCACACATTTCTTTCCTATACAGTATCCTAAAGCAGTTTTAGAAAAGGATTAAACCAGTTTATTTAGTGATTAAACCAACGTGCATCCTTGGTATCAGAGCTCTAATTCTGACTGCTGGGGACATGCTCTTGGGAAAAGGTGGCTTGTGTCTCAGCACAGACACGTGGGGGACTTTGCCCTGTGGATTGACCCATCCTGGAGTCAGAGAGAAACCAGGTGGTGCAGAGGAGTTCACAAATTGTCACATAATGCCAGCCTCCTGATCTGCATGTCACCTCACCAAAGGAATTAGCATGGACTGGCTATAACCCATGGTGAGAGGAGAGAAAATGAGAGTTGGAAGAGGGAGAGCAGCTGAAACTGAGTCCGTGGAAGAGCATTATTTTGATATTATTTTAACCAGCATTTAATTTTCTGCTATCTCTAACTGCAGTGTTGGCTGGGGGCTTTCTACCTCCAGTTTAAAAACACAAATAATAATTTCTATTCTTGAAAAGAGGCCAACAATTTTTAAGCTTTTTGAAATTCTAAGTGAAATTCTTTAAAATTCTTAAGAAGAAAGGTTAAATATGCAAAATACCAAATGGAGAAGATAATATGAAATAAGAAGTAACATGGAAAAAAACTTAGAAAGGAAAAGCTTGATCAGACTTCATCTGTCACAGAGTGTGGGTGCTCACAGACACGTTACAGAACAGGAACAGACCCTGGAAGATGTATTCTGAAAGGGTTCCTTGAACTGGGAACATATTTTTCAGCTTTGTGACACGGTGTGTTGTTGTATTTATTGAAGATCTGACCATCTGTGTATGCACTGTGCAAGGATGAATTATTGGCCTTTCTCCTTCAGGCTGCAGGAGCGGTTAAAAAGAAAAGATCCCATGCAAATCAGACTGGAGCAGTTGGAAAAAGGATTTTCTCTGTATGTGAATGGAGCTAACTCTGAGCTGAGAAAGTACCCCAGGAAAATCACCCCACACAGCTGCCTGAGAAACAGGCTCAGACCCACCAGGACAAAGGGTGAGTGTCCTGGCAGCCTGGCAGAGCTGCACCAGAGCTGGCACTCAGTCAGAGAGGTCACTGGGATCCAGGGACAGCACCTCTGGAGCCTGGTGGGATGGAATTCCATGGAAATCAGAGTGCTTAAGCTGCTTGTGTGTAAGGAATAGTCTCTGCAACACCCTATCCATTTTTCACTTGATTCCTCTTTAATTCCAACATTTAACTTCCCTGCCCCTTCATTTGTTAAACAGCTCTAACTAAAAGTAGAAGATTAGAAATGTATATAAATTGTCAGGGGAAAATAATGGTATACCTTTGACACATAACACCATTAAGAGGATTTAAGATCTGATGGACTTCAGTGTTATCCAAGCTTGGTCTCCTGAGGACAAATGACATTTGATGACATAGACTGTAATCAAATTATATCTAGTAATAGCTTCATTAAGCTCATAAATTACATTTAAGCTATAATAGTTGTCTTAAAAAGATAGCTAATCTTTATTTAAATATTTGAAGTGAAGAAAATCAACCATTTTTTTCCCAATGATTAGCTGGCTTTATGGAAAAATGGGTATTTTGTTTCTAATTTAAGTCTGTCTGTCATTGAGAGCAGTGCAGTGACAGGAATAATTTTGCATGCATGAAAGTATAAAGTATGAGCTTACTGGCCTTCTAATCTATTTAGCATAATGAAAAGAAAGTTGATTTTACTAAATCCCTGTGTAAAGCAGTTTACCAGCCTCAGTCAGTTATGTTCACACTTGCTACAACCGATCTCAGAGTGTTATTTTAATGTGTGATAGCCTGCTTAAACTTCATTTTTCACCTAAAATGAAGACAAAGAGTTAAAAAAGTTACCTGCTGTGACAATTTATTGATTGAAAGTTTATTAATCTCAGCAATACCGAAAACAAACTTCCTGAAATAACTGTTCCAACCATGGCTCTAACTTCATCTCCTTAAATTGTTTTCCTGCTACACTGGGCACATTCTACTTGTTTGCAGGCTTAGGTGTGTTCAGCTTGTATAATTTCCTGCAGGCTGTGTGGGATGGTGATGAGGAATCAGCTTGTCACCTGGCTCCATTGCTCTTTGAAAGTGAAACCTTGTGTGCAATGATGTAAAAATGGTCATGTTCTGAGAAGTGGTGGAAATTGGGTGCTCTGTCACACAGGGCTGATACATCTTCAGGTAGCTAAAGAGGTGTAAATCAACATCTTGGACTTTTTGCTCCAAAAATTGTGAAGGGATGTTGTGGCAGCAGCTCTAGTGGAACTCCTGTCAAGAGAAATTTCCTCTTAAAGTTCTGCTGTGCAGGTGTTATGTCTCAGCTTAACTAAAATTCTTTATTTCTATGGTCCCTTAAAGCCATTTGCTTCGGTCAAGGTAGAATACATGTCTTAGGGATCTCTGAAGACTCCAGTTGCAGTCCCTGTTCCTTTCCTCAACTCCATCTATCAGAGACTGTAGCACCAGCTCTGCAGAAGATAACTCAGTGTTTTGCTGTCTAACTCCAGTGGTGTTGTTTTAAGCACATGCAGCTGCAGTGAAAGATACCAACTGAACCATCATCCTGTCATTTTTCCTCTTCCATTTGGTTTTGCCACTGGAGTCCAGAATGAGAGTCACTGCTGGTCTGTATGAGTGTCTTGCCTGGGAGTTCTACCTTAGCAATTTTGTGGTCTCTTTCATTTCAAGGTATTTCTTCTCAATGATTGAATATGATTTTACTTACAGGAATGATTTCTAGCTGAGATACAGCACTGAATTTTCTTCCCTATCCATCTCCCATGAGAGTTATTGCATCATTTATTACTTCTAAAGCATCCATCTATAGGATTAGTCTT